GAAAGGCTTTTGTGGAAGTAATATCTGCGGATTTGAAGTGCTGCATGATGAATTAAAAACCATTCATTTATTTGGGTTATAAATGTATCTAAGATAGGGGCCATTTGTTTTATAATACTCTTCTACTGATCCTATATTAATGTTTTGACGATGAGCTTGCTTGCTGCAAGTCGAGGGGGACAAATATTAAACACGAGCTCTGCTTTTGACTCAACAATAACATATAAAATATGAAATTCTTCATCAACATTAGCTTTAATATCCTTGAGTTCTAATAAAATGCTCTCCGCTATTCTCATCTTCTTAATCAAGTCAATGTCATGTTTTTGAAAAGTATTACATAAAATAGTTGTATAATTAAATAATACATTCAATGAGAAAAAAAATTTGGAATAAGTATTCAATCCAATAATTTTCTTGCTTCAATACGCCGCCGCCGGTGATTTTTGCCATGCTGACACCGCCATCAAAAATGTGCTGGAGTTCAACACGCCGCCGTCAATGAAAAAAATCGGCATCGTGGCGGCGTGATAAATATTTTTTATTATTAAAAATAATATTTATTTTATATATTATTTATAAATAAAAAAAATAATATTAAATATATTTTAAATTATTAAAAAATGTGATTTTATTTTTTGCTATAACTTTTGATATATGGACCGAAAACGTCGAAATTATATTACCTTTACATTTCATGAAATAGATAATAATTTTAATAGCATTTTATACATTGGCTACGAATCATGTCACTCAAAAACATATGGCCTAAACTATTTTTTCCAAGATGGGTAAAGAAAATGAAATCAATTAAGGGTCTAAAGAACATTCAAATGGTTACGGATGCACGTCCCAATGTAAAGAAAAGTGATAAGAACATTGGATCTTCTTCAACTTTCAATATAGCATACCAAGCGAGCGTCATTTTCCATATTTGGGCTCACTCTGAACTCTAAAAGATCACCAATATGTTCTATAAATCTAAATAAAATAATATTTATAATGATGATTATTACTAAATAAACTGTTAAATTATAGTTATAATTTAATTAGATTTGCATAATAAAGCATACATTTTATTTTCAATAAATTGATTCACCGCCGCCAGCCGATCGTTTAAAAAAGAAACGCGGCCTCCGATAAGACTGTCTGCTCACACGTCTAAGTATATATAAAAAAAGTATTGTTAATGTATAAAACACTTAACAAATTTGGCCCCTTTATAGTATTATCACTGTAAATTATAAATTCAAATGTAATTATTTAATAAAATCGATATGTAAATTATTATTGTAATAATTTGAAGATAAATTTTAAAAAATGTTAAATATAAGATAGGATATCGATTCGATATTAATGATTATTGCCTTCTTTTTCTTCTAAAAAAAATACAAAAATGTTTATATATCATACATAGGCCTAATTATTAAACATCTATGGGCTTCTTAAAATGGGTAAAAACACAGCCCACATCCATAAATGCATATATAAATTTAATTACTTAATGAGGCAAAGGAAGGGCTGATTTTAATTTTAAATTATTATATATCTATGTTAATTAAGTCAATTCTGTTGGTTTGAAATATCCAACATTTAACTTTATAACATGTTGTTGTTAATTGTAGGAATAAATCGAATTTAGAAGATATCTAGATACATATAATTATATAATTAATAACTTTTTGTCAATCACATCTTCTAGTTTACATTAATCTTGATTTTAATTTTTAATTACTATATATAATGTTGATGTTAATAGTATGAATAAATCGAATGTAGAAGTAATTTTTTGTCCACCAAATCTTCTAGTATTTATTATTGTTGTCGTGTTAAGAGTCTTCCAAAATTATTACACCGGAAAGAGTAAGACACTTTTTTTAAATTTTATATAAAAAAAATTTGGATAAAAGAAAGAATTATATAGGATGCTAGAATAATTATTTATATAATATTAACAAAACACTGTTTTGTATTTTTTTTAGATCCCTTTTTGATAATATTCAATTTTTTATAACAATAGATTTCCCAGGACAATAAATCTATAAGTAGGGGAGATAGGGAATAGTGTAATCCCAGGGCAGGTAATGTCTTCTCAAATAATTTAAAAACTATTAAACTTTGAGATTTGAAATTTAAGACAAATGTGTATTTTAATAAGGTACTTAAAAATGTTTCACACAAAATTGCTCATGAGAAATTTTAAATGCAAATTTAAATTTTAACATCAAAAGTAACTTTAAATTTTTTTACATTTTTGTTAATAAATTTTTTTATATGTTATTCAGACTAAATATCAATTCTAAATTAATTATACTCAATTTTATTATGTATAAAAATATTGACAGTATTAATTTTAAGTGTCAACAAATTCTTCCAAGTGAAAAATCTAAAAATAAGGAGGCGCTATGACATAACCCGGGTGTTTTTTTATAATTCTTAAATTTTCATATTTTTAAATTTTATATTAATTAAAATTAAAAAAAAATTTTCTTAAAATTTCTTCAATTCATTTTTTTTATAAACAATATAACCCGGGTCTTCCTTAACTTCCCTTAATTACATTTATATATAAAGTAAATATTTAATAAATAATTTCTGACTCTAGCTTGAATATTTATTTTGAGATTTGTTAAATCAAAATGGTGCCACTACCAGTATTGCTTTAAAATATTGATTTGTGTAAAATTTACAGCATATCGAATCATAATAGCTTCTTGTGAATGTCAACCCTCAGGGTTTTTCGTTTTGGACCGAACCATGATGGTTTGGTCTTTATTATCGGTTCCGCGGTTCGACTTTTGTAATCGATCTTCGATTCGGTTTGGACTGATAGAAAGGTTATACATTATCATCCATAATTATCAAATATAAACAATATCAAGAAATTTCATATATTATTTAAATTTTTTCTTACATAAAACTAGTTCCAACTTTTATTGTTATATTTTATGTACCTATTCTTACCAAATATTATTTGCAATTAATTACATTATACAATGTAAATATTTAAACTATGATAAAATATTCAAATTTTAAGTTTAGGAAATCCAAAGGGTTAAATCATTTCAAAGATCTCACATGGCAAAAAACGAAATTATTTTTAAGTCAGTATACGTCATCAGAAAGGTGATCGAAATTTTAGTCTTGTCCCGGGATCAAAAAATTTTTATTTTCAAGCCTGGTTCAGATTTTTAAAAAAATTCACTTTTCAGGCCTAGTCTGAGACCTTTTTGTGTGATTATTTTAGTCCAGTCCAGAATTTTTTAAAATTCCAATACACTTTGAATAATTTTGGCTACATTTTTCAAATTGTTTCAGTAGGACATTCAAAATTTAAGCATCAAATGAATAATAAATGCTCGATTATATTATTTTTTAACATTTTCCAACTGATTAATTGATATAATTTAAGTTAATTTTTTTAAAAAATCTCGACCAGCGCCCGCCTGGATTTTTATTTGGCCTGGATAACGACGGGTCGAGTTCTTGGTTGCAGGTCTTTTATATAAACATAATCAAAAATATAACACATGGATTTAAAGTAAATCGGATATGCAATAAATCTCTAACACAATTTTATTTGCTGAGTTAAATTTATTTTGTTAAATTTGTTGTAATATTGTAGAGAATAGAATGGAGCCCCTTGACTAAAATTTATGTGCTAAGGTGGCAATTGGAATGAAATTGATATTATTTAAACAGAAATTTCAAAATTTTATAATAAACGGCCAATTTATTTTTTAGTCAATTTGTCTTCTTTTCTATAAAAAAAATTATAAGTTTTCATTATTTTAGAAAAATAAAATATTGTCAAAAAAAATGAAAATCCTGTCAGCTTTTCAACAAAATTATTAATTCAGATTACAAGAATACTTTTACAAACACTGTGTTATATATTTCCTTTTTTAAAAAATACAAAATTTATGATATAATATCGATTTTTAATGTTTTAAAAAAAAATTCAGTGGTTATAAAAACCTATTATAATCATAAAAATCTAATATAATCTGAGAGCATACTATTTTTTAAAAAGTGTTGTAATGATTAATATTATGCCTTGAGAGACTATCCTATAATAAGCCTATTTTTTTTAAAAAAAATCCGTTTGATATCCTAAGAAGAAGAATAATTTATATTAAGGTAAAAAAAATTTTTTTTTAAATATAATACTATTTTTTTTATCGGGATATATAAAAGATAAAAGTTAAAGGGGATGCTATATATTTAAATTAAAAGATATTTTTCGACAAAATAATTACACATTTCTATTTTTCCTGATTTTTTTTTTACTATGAAACAAATAAACAGCATTATTTAAATTAAACCAATTAATCAAATAGGCTAATTCCTAATAGTTTCTCAAATAATAATTAATAAAAACTGTTATTTAATTTTATGATTTTTTTGGCCTATAATAATTTTATACTATACATTAGAATCTTGATCGAATAAGCCCGATCTGTCCAAAGTCATATCAAATAAATTAGGCCAATTTTATTAAAATTTTTGACCGGACATACTACGACTTTTTTGAAAATTCGATGAACACTAAAACTTAAAAAATAACATTACTACATATTAAAAGTGGAAGGAGAGGCCTGAGTCTAAGTCTCAGATCTACGAATATTTTTAAATTGGAAGGACTCGGCGGACAGAAGAATCGAAATCGGCTAGGCTCCAAAAACAAATTCAATGTAGGACTATGCTATTATACACCACAATTGAGATCTTAAATAAATATTAGGTTAACAAGAAAAGTTTTCGTTTAAGTTTTTCGAATAGAGAAGTGACAATTATAATTTTATTTATGGTCTCCCGAGAACTATATTAAAGAGTTATAGTGTATGATATGCACCTTTTATAGATTTTATTATAATATAGCTTTAATTAAAATTCTAAATGCCAGATGACCATATAGTATGATTATTATTATTATCTAATATCTAACATGTTATTATACATAAATTATCTATTTAAATTCTATCAAATTTTTTTTATAGAAAATCATTGGCAAGTGATTGTATTGATAACGCTATCTCTTCTGCATTTAAAGTCGTTGATAAAATTGGAAATGAAACGTTGATACCCAAGACTTCTGTTGCTACAGATACGAAAAATAATACGCCCCAAGTTATGTCTGATATATCAGGTTTCACTGCAAATTCATATGACTCCTACCTAGATTCAATCAATCAATCTGAGGTACACCGGGAAAAATATAATGGAAGAAGATTACCTCAAACTAATGGCCTTGTTAAAGCGATTGATTCTATATCTGCTGATGACAAAAATATAAATCCAAGCAGTTTGGTTAAGTTTCAAAAGCCTAAAATTATTGTAGATTCACCTAAAACAAAAGTATTAAAAAATTTATTTATTTTTTTACTATTTATTTATATTATAGAGTATATTGGGAGGTCGAGACACAATGAACTAAGGGGCACATGAAGCATATTTAATTTATTTCAAAGTTAATTAAATCTAATTTAGAATTTAATCATATAATAAGTAATTGTCACATGTCAACTCATTAAAATTCTATATTCAAAAATACGTATCGCGAAAATCTAAATATTTAATATTCGATAAATTTTGTCTGGAATTAGACTAATAATTTATAAGCATCATATATAAATGAAAGCATCAATACCGAACATTATTGTTAAAGTATATTTTTTTTTATATGATCCTATATACCCTGTTACTTGGTTCAATGGGTTCTGGTTTTTTTATTTAAAAAATAAAAATAATTTAAAATGCTCAATTTTTTATAAATGTATTTTCTAAATTGAGTACATCATTTAGTTAGCTATTATGATAAATGTCAATATTTTTTGTTAAATTTGCAAATTTTATAAGCATAATCCAAACTATGGTTTAGAAAATTTTTAACTTAACTCTCGTTTTTTTTAAATTTTGAAATACCTGATCTTCCGCAATCGTATTCCTGGCGTATAGAGTACCTACTCTGAAAATTTCAGATATGCCATTAATTTTTAAATTCTTAATTTCTATACAATTTTTGCATGTAAATTAAAAATACATCAAAATTCTTGGGGAAAATGTCTGAAATTCACAGGATAGGTGTTGGAATATAATTTCTACAAAATCAGGTTTTACAAAATTAAAAAACGCGCGTTACAAATCATTTAAATTTTAAAAATTTGTTGAAAACCCCGGTTAATGAAACCTAGGTCTTGAATTAGCTAAACCCCTGAGCAGGGTTGCCAGGTCAAAATTTTAAAATTGCGGGAGAAATATGAAAATTGCGGTAGAAATATAAAAATTGCTAAAAAGTTCCGACCTTTAGCCGGGATTTTGAATTGACTTAATTATCCGCCTATTAATTTTTATAATTAGTTTATATAAATACAAAGTCGGTAACTATTTTTCAAAATAAAATAACATCTTGATTTATTAAAATATATTAATTTATAAAAAAAAAACCAACGATCTTTTTTAAATATAAAAGAATGTAAACAAGATAAAATTTTATAAAAAAAAAACGATTTTAATTTTACAATTAAAAATATATTTTATGCGAATGTCCAGCAAAACGACTGCAATTGGAAATATACAGTGTGTATAACATTATAGGGATAGGCGCTTAATTATCACGTATCACGTTTAAATACATAATAAGGTACTACAAAAATAAGAAATAATACAGATGCAACTAAAGTTGCGGCAATTGTAATCACTTATCTTGTAGTACAACATTCACAGAGATACTTATCATCACAATGTTGGTAGAATCTTTTCCCCATAATATTTAATGACTCCAATATAAATGAAAACTATACTTGTAGAATAAAAATGAGCAAGGCTATCATCAGTAGCGTACGCAGGAATTTGGTGTGGGGGGGGGGGGATAATTAAAATTTTTTAAAATAAAATTATTGTTATTTAAAAATATCAAGCATAAATTTATTAGGACTAATAACTATTTCTAATATACAAATTTAAATTAATATGAATTATAAAAAATTAATATAAACCGGTATATAAAAATAAATTTGATTTAAAAAATATTAAACGGATATAACCGGCGGCATATAAATACTTTAAATAAATCTGAATTATAAAATATTAAGTGGATATAACCAGGATATGATGACTATAAAATAAATAATCCATAATAGAAATTTAAATTTTTTCGAGCCTTTAAAATTTATATATAAAGTATAAAAAATCTAAATGTTGGAAACATGAATAATTATATTTTTTATGTAAAAGAAAAATATATAAGACATTAAAAAATGATAGTACAAAAAATATTATAGAAACATTATATTTTTATAATGTAAAATCCAATCTTCGTTGGGAGTGAGCTAATTTTTCAATTATCTCATCCGTGTTTGGCGTCAAATGCCTATGAATATTCAAAAGGGCCAGACCATTCAACCTACTTTCAGAAGTTGTATTTCTTAGGTACGTTTTTAATCTTCTTAAAGAAGAGAATGTTCTCTCATTAGTTGCAGTACTAATGGGAAGAGTTGCTAATATATATAATAATTTCAATATATTGGGAAAATAATCTAAAAGATGTTTGAAATGATGCAAAGCATCCATAGCATTTTTTGGGACTATATCAACCATAGTTAATCTTTTATACCATAGTTGGCATTCAGCTAATAAAGCATCATGAGATACATTAATGTCTTCATGATAAAAATCATTCAAATATTTTATTTTTTTTCTATCACCATCTGAAAAAGGTTCAGAGGGTTTTTGCGGAAGTAATATCTGCAGATTGATAATTGCTTCTTGATGATTTAAAAACCATTCATTTACTTGGGTTATAAATGTATCCAAAAGAGGTATAAAGACATTTATTTTATAATATTATTCTATTGACCCTATATTTATATTTGGACGATAAGTTTGCCTTACTGCAAGTCGAGGGAGACAAATATTGAACTCGTATAGCTCTGCTTTTGATTCAACATTAACATATAAAATATGAAATTCCTCATCAGCATTAGCTCTAATTTCTTTGAGTTCTAATAAAATTGTCTCTGCTATTCTCATCATCTCAATCAAATCAATATCAGGTTTTTGAAAAGTATTACATAAAATAGTTGTATAATTAAATAATTTATTAATACATTCTAATGCGAAAAAAAAATTTGGTATAAGTATTGAATCCAGTAACTTGCTTGCTTCTGAAGAAATATCTCTTTCAGACCATTGTGATATTTCTGTAAGAGCATTAATAATCGGCTCTTCTAACTCGATAAAAGCTGTTACTGCTTGATGTCGAAGACTCCATCTTATTGGACAAGCTTTTTGCAATTTTTTTCTCCTTGTTGGGCAAGGAGTTTCAGATATAATTCTGTTCAAAATATTTTGACTCTTGGGGTATCTAAACATCTCATAGATGCTAGATATTTTACCTGATATAAATATAAAAAATTTAATTTTAATAATTAAAAACCTAAGCAATTTGATATCAATGGTAAAGAACATGAATCCGATATTGCTAAGTTGTGTGAATGGGCAGCACAGTGGACATATATAGCTGTTGGGCATTTTTTTTCAATAAATGCCTGAAGCCCATTGAATTTTCCACTCATTGCACGTGCTCGATCATACCCTTGCCCACAATATAAAAATTTAAAAAGAAATAGATATGGATAAATATAATAAAATATAAAAAATAATATTTTTGAAAAATATGTCCGGCATCTGCATTTTGGCTTGGGGGGGGGATTTGTCCTCCTGTTCCCCCCCCCGCTGCGTACGCCAATGGCTATCATCAATGTTTTAGGACCTAAATCCAGGAGGTCAATTCTTGATGATTTGAAAGATGGGCATACATATGCAATTCTAACAGATGCATCTAATAAGGGAAATATTAAAATATTTCCCTTGATTCTCCACTATTTCAACAAAATTAAGGTCGTTTCAATAAAACTATTAAATTTTTTTCCCTCAAATAGTGAAAAATCCAAAGACATAGCTAGCCATCATGGTATATATAGCAGATTCGAGATTATCAATAAATTGCATGTCAGCTTTCTGATCTGATAATGCCTCAGTGAATTTGGTAAAAACAGAGTGTATTTACAGAATTGAGTCAGCACAATGTTGGTTGCGATATGTTCCTAATACCCGCCATCGATAGAATTTTAAAATTTTATAAACCTTTAAAAAAATATTTCTTAAATTAAAATTATAAAAGCTGTCCTAACATTTTGAAAATTTTTTTCAATAATGAATGGCAGAGGTATATTTAGGAATGATATCACATGTAGGAAATCTACTACATGCTGTTAATGTGTAGTTGCAATCAGAAGAATCTTAACAAAGATTCACAAAATTATGCTAAGCAGATGTGTTCATCTTTACAGTTAAAAATTGACATTAAATTTTATGGCGTCATTGCTAAAACTTAATTATATTTTATTTGAGATTTAAATAATAGAACTAAATGTTTACCGTCGTTATTGAGATATTTAAAATTCCTGGCATGACCATATTATATATTTGCTTAACCATTAGCTCGGTCTCTAATGTTGTTAAAGCAATCGGATCTCTCTCCTTTTTTCCAGGCAGTCCTCATCAGGCTAAAAATGCGCTCGGATGAGGCATTAGAATGAGGGAGAAAACATACTCGCATATTTTTTCAAGCATGGGGATTTATCGTTATTACGAAAAAATTCTACACATTTCTCCTCTGCTTTTAGACTATCTAACTTTAAGTATTTTGGCGAATCATAAAAAATAGAGAGAATTACAATCTTCTCAAACAAGACATCAATGTCTTTCGGTATTTTAATATATTTATTAAATTATAAAAACTATCAATTGATGGTTTCTGTTCCAAGGTCATAATATTTATACATTTGTAAATAGAGTTATTAAAATCAAATTTTGATTGTAAATATTCTAAAATTGTCTTAATAAAAATATCTGCTTCATTTAAAAATGTATTAATTAGAGTATTATTTGAACATTTTAATAATATTTTTAGCAATAGCGCCATAAAATTTATTATCAATTTTTAACTGTAGAGATGAACAGAGCTGTAGCATGATTTTGTAAATCTTTTTTAATAAAGAATATTCTGATTACAACTGAATATTAACTGCATGAAGTAGATTTCCTACATGTGAAACTTATTCCACATAAGCTTCTGATATTTCATCTTCAAAAAAATTTTCCAAAATTTTAGATTTAAGGAATATTTTTTTAAGGGTTCGTAAAATTTTAAAATTCTATCGATGGCAGGTATTAATGATAACCACCTGATAGGTACATATCGCAACAACTCACACCATTCCAAGTCAGACCACTTCACCAACTCTTTTGATTCATTAACTCTTTTAGTTGATGAACTAAATTCGTTAAAACATTTCATCACAATTATTTCGACATCCACAGATAGTACATTCATTGCCTTCTTGCAAGAATTATGTAATATATGGCATATACAGCCAATTGTATTAATTCATTATTGTGCTGCCTCAATTCGGTAAATTTGGTTTTGGCCAAAATTTACAGAGGCATTATCAGCGCAGAAAGCTGACATGCTAATCATTGATAATCCGGAATCAGCTATATTTACCATTATGTGGCTAGCTACATCGTTGGATTTTTCACTATCCGAGGAAAAAATTTTAAAAGTTTTATTGAAATGTTCTTATTCTTGTTGAAATAGAGAAGGATCGAGGTAGATGCATCTGTTAGAATTGTATATGGATGCCCATCTTTCAAATCGTCTAGAATTGACATCTAGGATTCAGGTACTAAAACACTTGTGATAGCCTTGCTCATTTTTGTTCTGCCACAAGTAAGGTTTGCACTTATATTGGAGTCGTTAAATATCATGAGTAAAGATTCTACATTGTGATGATATAGCTCTGTAAATGTTGAACTACATGATAGATGTATACGATTTCCGCAAATGTAGTTGCGTCTGTATTATTTATTATTTTTGAGAATATTTTTTTTATACAAACGATTTTGATATACTCCCCTGTACTGACTTATATGAATGAAATGATGTTGATTTATTATTGGATAAAAATAAAACAGGATAGAAAGAAATTTATAAACTAGACATGTTTTTCGAATAAATATTTAAAATTTATTTTAAAAATATAAAAATAATCAATAATGTCTCTCAAAATTATTATTTATGTGTTAAAATCGTTAAAATACTTTAAAAAAAAATTGCGGTAGAAATTAAAAAATTGCGGTGGATTTTTGCGGGAGATTTCTAATTGTGGTAGTTTTGCAGGAGAGAGATGTCTGCGTGTAAACTAAAAAATTGCGGGGGAGTCTCCCGCTGATGGGAGGAGACATGGCAACTCTGCCCCTGAGACATATTATATGCCCTCATTTGTACAATTAATGTATATCAGTAGAGTCACTGCTTAGGGACGGGGCTCAAGTCCCCTGAAAAATTTGAAGAGTCCCCTAAAAAATGTAATTTTGCAAATATTTTTTAAAAGGTAATTTTGAATATATTTCTTAAAAAAAATATATTTTCTAAAAATAGAATTTTACGTTATTTTATTTAAGGTTGAGCCTCCTGAGATTGTAAAGGCTAGTGATGCCTCAGTGTATAATGCATATTTTTAAACAATGAATTTGATTCATGTTTTTTATATGATATCGGAATTCGTCAATTTGTATAATTTTTATTTTTTGAGAGATATTTCTATAAATATAATTTTGTATATCTTTGTCAATCAATTCTAATAAAATATAAATAAAAACTTACAGACATACTTACTTTTTTTAAAAAATATTTATATAATTTCATTCATTAAAGCTCACGAAAAATTTATGACTGATGAATTGCCATATCATATAAAAAATATGAATAAGTATATCAACAAAAAAATTTTTATACTTTAAATCATTTTGATATCGTTGTATCATTTTAAAATACACAATTTAGTAGCTACGTTGGTAAAATACCTTCCCACTTTTAACGTTTCAGAATTTTGTGAAAAACTGTAAAAGCGGGTTACACTTAGTTATTTATTAATTAAGAATTGTAACAATTTCGTTAAAAAACGGGTAAGGAATTTCTATATTATTTGGGCCATATAACAAAACAAAAAATATTTAAAAATAAATTTAATATTCCAATATATGTTAGCCGATAAATGCTGTGATTGATGATATAAATTTTAGCAATTCAACCCCTCACCCTTCGATTACGATAGATATGAATTCGAGCGATGAAAGTAATAGTTTTAAAATAATTTTTATTTGAATTGTTTTCAAATAGTTTTTGTTTTAAAATAGATATAATTTTTTAAAGTCTCCCCCCCCCCCCACCAAATATGTAGTCATTCATGCATATATGGAAAGCTTTGCTAAATCCAAGGCAAATATATTAACAAACAGTTTACCTATTCAATGAATTTCATATTTTTTCATAAATATTTGTTAATTTTTTAATTTATATGAAAAATCTCATATAAAAATTTAATATAAATTAAAGCTAGGGAATACAATACCCCGGAAAAGAAATCCCCGAAAATAATTCCCCGGAAAAACATTCCACAGATAAAAAATTCTCCAGAAAAAAATTCCCTGGAAAATAATTACCCAGTAACAAAATCCCAGGAAAAAATATCCCCTGGAAGATAATTCCCCGGAAAAAAAATCCTAGGAAATTAAATACCTGGAAACCAATTCCCCGGAAAATATTCCCAAAGAAAATTAATCCTCGGAAAAAATTTCCCATTTTTTAGATTTTAAATTAAATATAGAGGAAAATAAATATCAGAAAAAAAACCTGAAAAAAAAATCCCCCAATAATTTTTTTTAAAAATTATCAAGAATAACCCCACCGCTAAAATAACGAAAATATTTCTAAAAAATTATATTCAGTATTTTCTGAACGTTGAGTATTTATTCTCGACGTTTGAGGATTTTTTTTGAGCATTATTTCTGTTTTATTTCTAAGCGATATAAGGCAATAAAATATGAGAATTGATAAATCACTTGGTAACTTTGATACTTTATAATTAAGTAGAAGCTTATAAATAAAAATATTTCATGACATCTTGGAAAGAAAACATGAAAGATTTTTATGGAAATAGATGAAAATTATGGAAGAGGTTTTACAATTTAAAATTGAAAAAAAATGAAAACATTGTTTAATATATCATTTTAATAAAATAAAAATGCAATTATTCTTTTCTGTAAATTAAAAAAAAAATCATATAATAATTAGATTTGAAATAGATAATACGTGCTGATAATCACCTCTGAAATAAACGTTTTTTGATTAAAATGATCAGCATTTTCATTACTTTTGGCAGTATTTAATTTAAATTGGGCAGCAGTAAAAAATATAATTTAGCAAGTTTTATATTGATTTTGTATACAGCCAGTTAAATTCTTATAGTTAGCATTAAATACTTCAGTAAAATAATTTTTATTAAATAGATACCAAGTTGAATTACAAATTTCCTATTTTACCACAGAATTTATATATATAGTTATATCATTTAATAACCCATTATTAGCACAAAAAACAAAAAAGGGCGTTATTTAAGAGTTAGTAAAAATCATGCTATTATTTTTGCCAACTAATGACAAATATCAAATTTGTGAAATAGAACACAATATATTTTATATTATTGTAAAAATTACCAGTAAAAGGCTTTATATATTCCATAATAAAATTATACCAATTGAAAAATTGACCAACTATTTTTGAAGGCAATTGTGAAAACCCTCTTATCTCCAACTGATATTTAAATTTTTGACATATTTCTAAAAACTTCATGGAAATGATTAAAAATTTATGTAAAAATAAATATTTTTTTTAAATAAAATTTTGATTTTCAATGTAAAGGTGAACTAGATTTATTTAACTTTCGTTTCATTATTTAAAACCTCTAATCTTCGAGAAAATTTGGAAAAACATTTTGATTTAATTAAAGTAGTGCAGATCCGGGTCAAAAAATGGTATGAATTTATAAATCTGGACCAAAATAAAAAATATGGGCTGGCCATATATCAATAAACTGAGGCTTAGCTACTAATAATAGAGTTAGCTGTTTTGCTCGGCTCAAAACGAGCGCTCAATATTACAGAGATTAAGTATCCAATTCGTTTATTTTATAAATATTGTTTTGTTTAATTTTCACCATACCTGGGTTCGAGATAAGGCCATAACATTATACATTATATTAGTTAGGGTTAATTAATAATAATTTAAAAATTTGGTTAGGTTTAATATTAGTCACTAGTTATTATTCATAATTTTGTTTAACAATTTTATTTGGGAAATTTTTATTTGGAAAAATTTGACAGTAATTTTTTTTTTATTTTGTTGATTTCTCAAAAATTTTAAATATTTTATTTGGGGATTTTTTTTCCGGAGATTTTTTTTTCTATTTTGTTAATTTTCTAAAAATAATTTAATATTTTATAGGATCACAAAAGGTGAATTATTTTCCGGAGAAATTTTTTCATGGAAATTATTTTCTGTGGGAATTTTTTGCCGGAGAATTATTTTCCAAGGGAATTTTTTTTCCGGGGGTTTTTTACTGGAGAATTATTTTCCGAGGAATTATTTTCCGAGGAATTATTTTCCGGTAATTCTTTTTCCTGGGGATTTTTTTTCCAGGAAGTAATCTTCCGGGGAATTATTTTCCTAGATTCCAAATGTTTACGGCAAATTTGTCTGATCGTAGGGTAAGTCCTTGATACATTTTAGAATACGCTTACGGCATAATCAGAATGCCATTAAAAGAATTACATGATTTAAGTTTTAAATTGCTAAAAAGTCAGATTTGCTAACCCTTACGACATTTATATTAGTATATATGATTATCTCAATTGTCTTGTAAAATTATAATTTGTAAACACTCTTTAAGCAGGTTTTATAATCTAATCCTTGTTCCAAAAACCATGGTCATATCAACGATTAAAAAAATAATTATTTGTATGCTGGGCTAGTAATTCCTAGTTGAAAACTATTTCAAAGGCTCTTATGTTAAAGAGGAGGAGGAAATTGAAAAAGGATGATAAGATAAAGATATATGAATAATTTGTGAAATAGTAATAATTCGAAGAAATAGAAATAGAATTGTGGGTCTTAAATTTTTATCGATTTTGTAATAAATCAAAAATTTATACATAAAAGGTGCATAAATATATATCTTTTTAAAATAATATTGATTGAATTGAATCCCGGAAAAAAAATCCCGGAAAAACTCTCAAGGATTAAGAAAATAATCTTTAGATAGAAAACATCTCCGTTACCCCAATTTTTTTTATATTGAAAGACGGATAATGAAAAAATTGTATTGGAAGATATTCCCATAAAAAAGCCCCTGGACATTAAAATCTCCTGAAAAAAATAAAGATCCCACAGACACCTTAAAAAAATGTCATATGGAAAAATCCCATAATTCTCCGGAAAAAATTACACTGTTTTCAATTTTATTTTTAATAATTATAATTTTTATGTGGACTATTTAAAACCAATGAAATATATTATATGACAAAATTAAAAATTAAAAAACTAATATATTTATATTATGTAGTTAAAAATTTGGTAGTCATCAATCCATGAATATAAATCTTAGTGGATCTGCAGATTTTATGCGATATTTTTAGATATAGATTTTCCTTTTGGGCCCCCCGTAACCCTGCGCATTCACAGTTAGCGCGAATTCGCGGCGAAATATATAAAATATCATTTTTTGTTATCTCAGTGCAGTTTACCATAATATTTATTCTTGTATACTTCGCTGTGAACTCGCGCTAATTGGGAATGCAGAGTAATGATTTAATTTTTGTTTAGTATTTTATAAAAAAACGAGTCGATTTTTCTCCAAAGTTCACTTGCTTATTAGTAATAAAGGTTTAAAACTGTAAATTAAAGCAGTATATTTACTGCGCTTTGATATTTTGGTAGTAGCTAATGTATATTGAGCATTCAACTTGGCAAATGCCCATTTACAAGTAATACATATGTGTATCCAGGACTTTAGTAAGGGGGGAGGTGACTTTTGGTTAAATTTTTTCGCCATCATTTTTTTGTATAGTTTTACCCAAAAAAAATTATCACTTAAAAAAAATCTATTTTTCTCAAATATTTTTATTATAGTCATTATTTCTTAATTTTATTTAAGATGTGATTTATTGTAATGATATATTGTGTTCATTTTTTTTTATGAGAGGGGTGGGGAATGTATTGGGGAAAATTTTTATTACTTTAAAGTGATACACAAGGGTTTATTTATACCCCCCCCCCCCCCCCAAAGCCGATTACCGCAACCAAAGGCTGTCATTTGGCCCAAGGAATGAGCTTAATACCATCAGACACTCTGACATGTTAAGTCCTACAGGTGTAATGGAAATGAAAGTTCAAGATAGGGTATATGGATAAGAAGGTCAACAGTAGGTTGTGAACTGAAATTTTACTTGACCTCTGCTTTATTAAAGTTTTGCATCTTTTCAGGGTTTGAAGAGCTAGGTTTTGATTTACCACTTATGGTTCTTTTATTGTTTCCTTGGTCTTTAGCTACTCTAGTTCTTGGGCCGGGGCGAGTTTTCACTTTTTAGCCGCCTTCAACATAGCCAGCGTAAATCGGCGCATTGAGATAAAATTTTTTTAATATATATTAAAATAGGTAATCTAATTTTTTAAGAAAAGCGAAATTAAATTGAAAATAAATTATATACCACAGAGATATCGGTATATTTTCAGATCTTATTAAGAAGAAAACGAATTATAAATTCAAACTCAACTTTGTAATTTTATAGTTATCATGTATAAAAATAATTCTATTCAAATTTGTCAGACATAAGAAGAATCTCCTTGAATTCACGTCAATCCAGCGGTAAACCATTCTTTAAGGTAAGCTGTCGGAACATAGAGGATTATTTTAGCTAGCGTGGAAAGATTCAAAAGTTATATCCTATTTTCTCTCCAAAATTTTATAACATCCAATAAGGTCCGTGAAGTTGGCGGAACGATGTGAGGATTAATTAACAAAACCTGCCAATATTTAGAGTCTTAATTAATCCTAATTGATCTTCAAACCTAACATCAGCGGAATCAATGGTTAATGAGTTATAAGCAAAATAAGGAAAGTGTTGTTATTGTTTATTTTTTAATTTCGGAGAATAATTTGTATTCGATATTACTCTTGGTTTTAAATCTTTATATTTATTAATTTAATATCATCTTAAAGTTGTTTAATAATAAATTCTAAATTTTATCATAATATTTAATAGCTGTTTCTTTTAATTTCGAAAGAAAAATTAATATTTCCTCAACGAGTCTGATTCATAGTTTGGATGTTTAGATAATGCTTTCTTATTCTTTTCTAAACATTATTTATTAGAATTTTATTAGTAGAGATATGCTTATAATTAATATACCATAACCATACTGTATCGTTGGGACTTATTTTAATGTTCTCATCTGAGTGGCCTTATTTTATTATCATCATTGAAATCGCCAATTTGATAACTGGTATCAAATAATGCTATCAAGATTTAGCATATCCAATGTAAGATCTATTGTATTTAGTCATTTTTTCTGATGACATTATACAGTTATAATAGTGATGTTGACCAATCATTAGAATAAAAAAGGTTTAAAATATGAAAATTTACAAAAATAAATTAGGCGCTCGCCATTATGAATATCGGCGGTGGCCGGCATAAGTCTGATCAAAAATATCTGGGTTCTGCTAACGGGCGGCCGGCGTAATATAAACGGCGATGTTTTTAGTATGATCAAAAATATCAGCGGCCTCGGTGGCGTAGTTACGGAGGGGGGGGTTTGGGTTTGGACTCCCTTTCCCTCCCAATTTTTTTTTTAGATTATAGGCTCAAAAGGCTCAAAAGTGACTTTATATCAAATAAATACCATGAATATTTATATTTTTTTGTTTTTGATGTTTATGGAAGGATATTATATTACTATTGAAATTATTCTGGATAGTATTATTATAAAGTCATTGAGAATAACCTATTAAATTATAACAACATATTATTGATGCATTTAAAAAATATATTTATTATAAGAAAAACAAATATGATTTATAAGATAAACTGGCCGAAGGCTCGTTAAAGGGGGGTCTGGGGGCGAAGCCCCCAGGCTTTTATATGTATGACCCCTCTAAGGAAAATTCTTAGCTACGCCACTGAGCGGCCTGCTAACGGCCGGCCGGCGCATATGTCTATGCATAAGTAATTGAAGATGATTACAATACAAATTTTTTAAAATATGTTTCAGTTTATAGCATTTTTTTTAGCGTTTTGATGGCTAACGTTCCCTCCCTTGTTTTTCAAATTTCGGATCTTTGAAATATATTTTAGTGGGTTATTAGAAGTATCCAGGAGTTTCTTATAGTGGGGGAAACACTATTAGGCCAATAAATAATTTTGGGTTTTACTTTTTAATTAGTCGTTATTTTAAAATTAACATTTACTAATTTTTCTTTTAAATTAACTTTTACAAATTTTTCTTATAAATTCTTATTTATAATGATATATTGTACATTTTTGGGGAAGAATGAGATGGGGATTGAGGGCGGGGAGGGGGAGGGGGCGTTTATTAAATGTAATGATATTTACGAGAATTCAAATTTGAATTGGGGGGAGGGAGGTGGGGGTGAAGATTTCCACTTTGGTTACGCGCCTGCGGGTTATAGTGTAATTATTTTAAAATTTATATTTAAAAAAAAATAAATTAGATTTCGAACTTAAAAACCCTCGATCAAGCCAGAATTCAAATTTATTACGGAGCAAAACTGTAGATTTTTCTTTAATAGATAAAGAAGTTTTAGTAGCGAGGGAAACCAACCTGACAAAAAGTTAAATTTAAAGTCATAAATTATTGCTTCTACAAATATAGCTCTTTTTCAAACACATGGTGTTATCAGAATCTAAATAATATTGAAAAGGACACTATGAAATGGTAAAAGGCCACCACCTGCTTGAGAAAGGACACTATATGTTATTTAATAAGTTATTCCACTTTCTAACTATAAATTTGTCATTAAATAAATGTTATTATAGAAAATATGAATTTTATTATATAAATATTCCTTACGGGTCAGAAATTTATCCTAGAGATATTATGTAAACATAAACGTATTCTGGGAGAAAGCAAGGAAACACAATTTATTCCTCCCAATTATTAAATTTTTATTATTATTAAATGATTTAGGCCAAAATTTTTATCCCTCTAAAAATTAATAAGGATTTTAGGAAGGATATTTAAGGTATGCTATGTGTCTCACTTTATATATGTATTTTTTTAAAGTTATAAATATATTCAAAATATTTATTCCTGAAACAAAACACTAGATATATATAAGCTGGGAGCGCGCCCCAATTTTGTTATATGATAGAATTTTTTTTAATGCTGCTAAATTTATTGACTATTATTTTTTTATAAATAAGATAAATACAAATAAGAAATATTTTTTTAAATATTCTTTTTAATTGTAGAGATGGACAAAAATTCTTCTTCTTATAAAAGTTTTAAAGATCCAAATATAAGCACAACACCCTCTATAGAAGTTGTGTCGGTAAATAATTTTCCGATTGCTTCTCTGGTCAATAATAATCAAGGAATTTACACAAAATTGACTGGGCCCCAAAACATTATGACTGCACCTATTTTATACGATGATACTCATCAAAAGCTAAGCAATTACATAAAGAGCTCCAGGACTAATTTTAATGACAATATGAAAAACGATATCTCAAACGTAAGTAAAATTAAAAATATTCAAGGCAATACAGGCTATACCAATTTGATAACGAAATCCAATTCTTTACCTCAAAAAGTATTCAATAAATCAATAATATTCAAAAATATTTCAAAACTTAAATAATGAAATAATTTATACTTATATTAGATTATAAGTATTCATTAATTTTAAAGTTAAAATCTATCTTAATCTTAATCTGTTTAAAAATTATGATCCAAATCAAAGGCATAACGCAAACCTTCCAAAAAAACAAATTATTGTCCACTTCCTATAATTTTCTGAGGCTCCCGACTGCAATAATTTGGCTGGGGCTATCTCACACCCTTGGCGGTATCTGTTATGCCTCTGATTAAATAATAAAAATATTTAGATTAAGTATCGAAATGCATCGCTTTTAATTGTTATTCAACTTTAATTCAAAGCTATCTTCAAATAACACAAATGATTGTCAAAAAGAAGTAACAGCCAAAATTGTGAGTATAGAAGAATCATTAAACTATTTGATAAAAATTTTGTCTTCCAAGGTGACTAATGATCAAACGAAAGTCATAGGATCAAAATATGCAGAAACATCTATTACTAAGTCAAATAAAATATTTTATGATTTTTTGATCAATGAAACCCTAAGAAACATCAAATCCAATATAAATGACTATAATTATGGGGAATTATTAAAAGTCATAACCATGTTGGATGAGAATCAAGTATCGCATTTTGTTACAGCGGATAACTCACAAGCAATTATGAATTCATTGAATTGCGACAATAATGGCATTAATACCTTAAAAATATTTCTTTTCCCACTGGAGAGAGACTTAAAGCACTTATATTACATGCAAAAACTTATTCATCTCGAAAAAAGTTTTAGCGATGGCCAAAACAACATTATTTCTTCAAGTCTGAAAGATAACATCAAACTTAAACAGTATCTCGCAGATCTCGATAACAGGAATACTTTATCGTTGATATCGAATAATATATTCATCAAACCAGAGATAGATAAATATATTAGAACACAACTGGTAGAGCAATTGGAGAGGGGTATGATTTTTTTAAAATCTGAATATGCTAGTAATGTCATTAGATGTGAGTATGACCATGTGAAAGCCACTAAATCAGATTCTAAGAGTTCTAAAAGATTATTAATTGATAGAGCGAAGAGTATATCAGACAGGAATAATGTTGACGACCTTGTTCTTAAACAAAAGCCTTACTATAATACTATGTTTGGAAAAGCAATCAATGTGTCTATTAATACCCAAGATAATTTATATTCATTTTCAGATTTCACAAATAAATTTGATTCTAAGATCAAAGGCAAACTGAGATTGACGAATAAAATGCTAAATCACATATTTGATTCTACCAGCAGGAGTTTGAACAACAGCTCTATGTATTCAAACCCATCTTCTCCAATTTCTAATACATCTAATAAGGTAACATCTTTGATAGAAGATGAGGCAACCCTGAGGAATCATATTTTCGACAAATTAGATCTTAACACCTGCTTAGATGTCATGGAAACCGATTCTATCGCACGAAAAAAGATGATGATTGAAAAAGAAATAGTTAGACGCAGATCTGTCGCTTTAAACAGGCATGAAGTGAAGCATAAAAGTTCTAACAACAAAAGGGATTTATATTCTGAAAAATGTAATATACCCAATTCCTTTGATTCCCATTCTAGTGGTAATAATCCTGACAAGCTACTTAAGTATATTGTAAAAACAACTGCATACAATGAGTCAAGTAAATTTACCCATTTGAATCATTTATTTTTTTAAAAAAATATATACTTATACTACATCTAGGTGGGTCAGTGTTAAAGAACAATGAAACAAAAAGGGTAATATGTTACTATATATATATTAGGTTTTAAAAAAACCTACATAGGGCTACTAGAACAATTTTATAGTAAGTCACAATTGCGAAAGCTTGGTTGATTTCATGCCAGAATTTTATATAGTAAATTATCTGATTAGGGTTCTAACTCCACCGTTCATTTTAAAAAAAAGCATCACGCCATCTAATAATATAATAAAGAACTATCTAATATTACATAAAAAACATTTCAATTTTAGGGGTTTTTTAATGTAAAGAAGTTGAAATTTCTATGGATTCGATTTTGATCCTAATAAAATTTTGAACAAAATTTCTAAATTTTTTTTTTTAGTATTTATATGGCATTCGTAATAGGCTTATTATAAACGCATACTTAATATCGTAAGAGTGGTTCACGCTAAAAATCTTCATAATTAAAGGTTTATTATGTATATCCATTCTTTGTGGAGTGTTGCTATAATAAAATTATAAAATAATTACAAATGTAAAATTTTGCTTTTTTAGAGTATGGGAAAAATAGTAAAAGTCATTCTTCGCAGTTCCCCATATTTGACAAGTTGATATTAAATTCCTTCTGAATATAAACTATAATTAATCTTAGATGTCGATAAATTTGGCGTTAAACTAAAGTACAAAAAAGCTGGACATAATGGTTACATCACAGAGGGAGATGACGCCTACATAGAACAAATAATCAATTATCATGTTAACTCGGAACAAATTCAAAAAATGAGTATTGGTATACAATACATATCATATTTAAAATATCTGATATTGTTTAGACATGTCAAAATCTAGAACTGATATGTAGACGTAGTGACATCTTTGGTTCCTTCCATGTCAATCGGCGCATGACAATTCGGTGCGTATCTATTACAGTTGCAATTTATTATAAATTACTTAGTATAAAAATATAAGGATGATTAAATAGAAGTCATTTTGAATGTTGGTATTATTAATTATTTCTTCATATTTATTTTTACAAAAATTTACTAAATGTATATCGAAAAAAATTAACTAATATTTATACCTATTTCTTTAATGGACCATTTTACCATATTATAAGGTATGTTGATTAGTAGCCAATATTATGTAAGCCTGGAGATTTTGCGCATAGAAGGAAGAAAGAGAAAGAAAAAGGAAGAGTTGACCTCTATATCTAATCTTATATATTATTTTGGCTACAATCTTAACCAACCGTTTTTAAAAATAGACCCAAAATACCCCCCTGATAAGTACTATAATGTTAAATCTTAAATCCCCTTTTCACGCCTAATTTTAGACAATAAAAAAAATAAATAAAATTATAAAATTTAATATACCTCCCTGATAAGTAATATGCCCAAAATCTCGGCTTACATAACATTGGTCACTAATCAACATATCTTATGTGATAAATTGGTCAACCAAAGAAATAGGTATTAATATTGGTTGTAAATTTTTTTTGATATTACACATTTAATTTTTGATTTATATAATGGAAAAAATTAGCCTAAGCATAATATTTTTTTTAAAAAGGATTAATAGAATTTAAGGATTTTTAGTAAATCTAAAAAGTGATTCAGTCTTAATTTGATTTTTTTTGGATCATGGCTGGATCTATTTTAAAAAACGGTCGATTTAAATTCCAGCCAAAATACTATGTAAGATTCGAGATAGAGGTCGAAATATTTCTTTTTCTTTCTTTCTTCTATGCCCAAAATCTCGGCTATAATATTGGCTACTAATCATCATACAATATGTGGTAAATTGGTCAACCAAGGAAATAGGTATAAATATTGGTTGTTAATTTTTTTTGATATTGCACATTTAGTAAATAAAATTGAGATTTTTGTAAAAATAAATATGAAGAAATAATTAATAGGACCAACATTCAAAAGATTTCTATTTAATCATCCTTAATTTTTTATATTAAGTAATATATAATAAATTGCAACTGTAATAGATACGCGCTGAATTGTCGCCGCGCCGAATTTTCCGCGCCGAATTGACGTGATACCGACATCTTTATAATATACGATACATGATAGTTCAAATAATTTTTCAACTCTATCTCAATTTTTTTAAAGTTTAAATCTTTATATCGAAGCTAATTTTCATAAAAATTTAAATATCACAGTTAACTTTTTCTTTCCTTCCAGTTACTCATTTAAGCATGTTAAGGATAAATTTAATTCTACATATCACTCTTTTGCCCTTAACTAACGATGGATAAAATAGTTTAACAAAAGGAATAAACTATTAGGGCAAAGATCCCAAATAACTTAAATTATATATATTTAACAATTTTTTAAGTTTCCAATTCATTATACTTTTTTATGAATAATTTTATTTTATTTTTCCTATACGATAGAAGAGGATTGATTGCCCTAAAAATATAATATTTATTATTTACCTTTTATTGATTAAATATAAAAATCCTATACATAAAATTAATAATTTTTTTATATTATATTAGTTACTCAATCGATTATATAATATATTTATTTATTTTTATAAAAAAAACGTCAAATCGTTTAATTAAAATATACGAGGGAGAAATATTCAAAATTTAAAAACCTTAATTGAACCCTGAATTGTTGTAAAATAAAATTAGCCCAAACCTAACCACTGAAAATATTATTATGGGATATATTATCGACTTTTATTTCAAATAAATTTCATTATTTATGATAAATTATGTTATTTTAAGTATTATATTTCTGCAAAAGAATTACCATAACTAGATATTTTGAAATATACTATTAAATGTGATTATATTTTTTTGAAATTTAACGAATCACATTAAAAATAAATAAATTCTAAAAGATATTAACTGTTTTATATTTATATATATAATATGTAATGATGTATATATTATAATAATTTAATAAACCTATGAAATACAACAATCTAAAATAAATTATTAACAGCTACTTATAGTTATATTATATAAAATAATAAATATTAGAATCAAGTGTCTCTTTAAATTGGAACATGAATATTTTGTAATTGATATTATACTTTTTGGCTTTTGGACACATTTTACCTTTTGGTAATAATTAAATAAGTTCCTTGAATATATGATGTTACTAAAGTATTTACTTATCTCTAAATCTATTACAAAAACGAACGTAAAAAACGAACACGTTCGTCAAAAATAAAGTAACGCCTTCACCTCCAGTAATAAAAGGAGGTTCATCATTTTTTTAAATATAAAAAACTTCGTCGTCCAATTGTATTAACAAGTTTCTAATATATATTTATTTATTTTTTGGAAAAGGAGATAAAATCTTATCATGGAACAATATTTTATTGAATGGAAAATCAGAAGTGGAAATCGAAGACTTAATCAAAGACTCGCCTAATAACGTAGAAATATATTTAGAAAAGTAAGGTTTGAAATTTATATTTTTTAATATAAATCATTTATATTTTTTTTTAATTCCCTCTTTTATATTATAGTTTTTTATTTTTTTATAAAAATTAAATTGGGAGCAATAATATTTCCTACATTTTAGCGATCTTTTAAAAACTCAATTTAAATACAAGTTTCCCCAGCATCTATTAATATTAATTTCAAATTTTTTTAAAAAATTCTCTAGGAGATATAAGCGATATTCCCAATTTTTGTTTTAGTGATTAAGAATCTATCTCTATTATTTTCTAAAATTATATTTAGTTAGTAAAATAAATGGGTGCTATTTTTTAATAGGTATTTTAAGATTTAAATGATAAATTTTTACAATCTATAGAGTAATTGGGCCCCAATTTATAACTCATTTTTCTGGAACTAATGGTATTCCTCAAAAGGAGATTGAAAAAGATCAAAGTAACATCTTTTATCGAAAAATATATATATTTAACTTTTCAAAAAGAATTTGATTGGATCCCTAAGAAAACAGAATTAGAGTACAAATATAAGCCAGCAAATTATACTTTGTACCAAAGGTATTTTGAATTACCTTTTCACGTTCTAGAGAGAATTGACTTGGTAATACCTTTTATTTATTCATACCAGGGGTTTTAACTTAAGGAGGATTCACATCGGCGTTGCTAGCTTTATCAATTTTAACTCCCACTTGCCTTTCTCGGCAGAATCCTTCCCCATTTCCAGATCACTTCTTTTTTCCTCCTCCTTAAACGGCCAAAGGTTTGGCTAAGGCAAAGCGTGATTACTTTATAAATGCCTTAATTTATTTGCTATTTTTTTTATAAATAAGTAAGGTATTAGAACCGGTGTAGCGTGTTACACTCCCCATATCAAATACCTCTGAGTTAAGATATCATTATGATAGATTAACTCACCTTTTGATAATTGGTATTAAGGAGGGAGTTGATAAATAACAAAGATCTTAATTGCAATGTAAATTGATAGCAAGAGTTATATGATCATGCAGTTTTTTTTATTTAATAAAATTCTTGTAAATTTAATTTTTGATATTAAATTTGAATTTCGAAATTAAATTTTGAATTGAATTTTAATTTTATTAATCTAGTTTGTATAAGGTTGGTATCCGAAAAAGTTGAAAATAAAATTTAGATGTTATATAACTAAATATCAGATTTTATACTATTATATTCGAAAATTTTAATTATCTGTCGCTCATAAGTGCCAATATAGCTAGACATATACACTTTAAGGATCACCTGTCATGTCAATATTGCTATATATTAATTTTTAACATTACATGTCAGTATTACTAAATAATAGAAACTTTTGACATTACATGTCAGTTAGTATTACTAAATGATAAACTTTTAACATTATACGTCAGTCATAAATGTCAGTACTACTAAAGGGAGTTAAATTATATTTAAGTTAAAATATCACGTTACACAGGCAAATTTATTAATGGGTTCGGTTCTCTACAAAAACTATCCAATTTTATCCATGTTTTCAGCATTCATTTCAAGTCCCACTAAACCAGGTTTACAGCTTTGGGTTCGATACCCATAAATTTAATTTTACAATTTAAAATTTGGAAATACGATCTAGCAACACGCCTAGACTTACTTTATATCCTTCCCTCCCCAATTTTTTTTATTTTATATCCCCTTAGAAAATCTATCTGTTGAAAATCTGGAGGTAAATGACTCCTAAACCCCCCCCCCCCCACTTCATTTCATATATAGATTATTCATAAGTAATATCCTGACTAAAGCATTTTCTTTAATTTTGTTTATCTCTTCAGAACAATCCTAATTTTGAGACGAAGGGTGAATTACAAGTAAAATTTAAAAAAATTTTTTTATAATAAATTACCAGAGACCTGCAGGCCCGGCCCGGATACCAGGGCCGGACCGTATTTAAAATTTTTAAAATATACCCGGGCCTGGTCGGGCCTGAAAATCTTTTTTTAAAAACCCGTGCCGGGCCTAAAAAAATTTTTTTTAAAAAATACCTAGGCCGGGCGGTATTTTTTTAAAAAATTTATACAACATGAATAATTATATTCGTCAATTAGATATGGTTATAATGATTATATATTATTATGATTAATATAATGTTTGGTGAAAGTAAACACTAACTAACACTCATAGAATCTATTAGAGGTGGGCGTGGGCCTAATTTTTCATTCACGACCCGCCCACTCACGGTGGTTATGAAAGAAATTCACGCCCATTCACGCTTACCATTAAAAAATTTTCGACCCGACCTGCCCCCTCATGACAAGCAATATTTTGATTCACGCCCGAAAATTCATGGCGTTTTTAAATTTTTCCAAACTATTGCTATAATTTCACACTTTTTTGAATTCATTCTATTTATTTCTCTAATTTCATAATCCATATTAATAACAAAAAATAAATATAATCTATAAATCGAAATTTATTTAGAAAAAGAAGAATGTCCATCCTTTTTTATTTCAATTGTGTACGCCTTTCCTCTAATACGAGATTGGCTACAGAAAATAAATTTTCACTAGAAGCCGAACTTGCAGCTGACAAAATTTTACTCGATAATTTTCTCAAAAAAGGAAATGAATATTCCTGCTTCCAAAACTTCAAAATATTGTCGTTATTTATCTTATATGAATTTTTTAAGTTCATCCTCACAGCTTTCATCGGTGATGTTGATGCTTCATCAGAATCAGAGTTGTTAAAGTATCTAGATATAAAAATGTAGTATCTGTATCTATATATTTTTTTAGAGGTATCTGTATCTGTTTTTAGATACTTTTTAAGATACATTTTATATACCCCTTTTTTATTATAAATAAAAATATTTGACTGTAAAATTTATTTTATTTCATATGAGCTTATGAAATAAATATATATATATTATATATTAATATTTATTAATACTATAATAAAGAATTATATATACATAAAATATTAAAACTTATATATAAAAAATATAAAAAAATATTCATTAATTTAAATATTATGTCCGAGTTTATCAATAAACCATACAAATTTTAATATTACAATATGGAAATGGTAAATTTTATTTTATAACTAAATTTTTAAGTTTATATATTTATTTAGATCTATATCGATGAAGAAGAGGAAGCAACAACAAGTTCTATTGCTTTACCATGGCCAATTTATAGAGCATATTTTAAAATAATATCTCAAAACAAAGAAAACAATTCTCTGATGGTAAAATGTTTGCCGTGTCTACCTAAAAATACAAAAATATCCGTCAGTATGACTTCAACGTGCAATATCGTGAAGCACATAAGGGTATAGATATTATATATTTAAAATTCTAATTTAAATTTTAAGAGAAAACATCCAACCTTGTTAACAAAAAGTAAAATAAAACTACCAAAGAAAATATTGGAAAAGGCTCATCCTCCAATAATATTTTTGCTAAAAGACCTTTGACTTTAACTCAAGGCACTTTAGATAATTTAATTATTGCTTTTATTATAGATGGCATGCAGCCATTTTCAATTGTTGAAAATCCTTCTTTTAAAAAAATGATCAACACTTTGGCTCCACACAAAAATATAATTTGCCGACAGACAGTTGTTGGTAGAATTTCCCAAAGATGGGAAAATGAAAAGAAAGAAATAATTAAAAGTCTTATAGAACCATCATTAATATGCACAAAAGCAGATTGTTGGAGTGCCTATCGCCGGTATAGCTAACATTTAAATTTGTATAATAATTAATTAAGAATAAATTATTTCAGCAATTTTAAGAAATTTTAATTTTTAGTTCATACATAGGAGTAACCGCTCACTATATAAATCCAATAAGTTTGGAAAGAAAAATTATAGCGTTGGCTTGTAAAAGAATGACTGGTAGTCATACATATGATAAAATAGCAAAAAATTTACAAGATATAGCTAAGGATTATTGCATTCAAAATAAAATTTCAAAGACCATTACAGATAATGCCAAAAATTTTATAAAATGTTTTAGGTTTATTTTATTATAAATAAATATAAACATAATATATGATTGATTACTTAATTTATTAAAGAGTTTTCAAGCCAATTGAAAATAATACAAGTGAATCAATTGATGATCTGGAAGATGAAGCAGTTGTGCCAATTTCTATATCAAATCTTTGTAATACTGCACAGGATTCTGAATTATCAGAATCATTTAGTTTACCTCATCACCAATGTTGTGCCAGTCACACATTGAATCTTATAGCCACTGTGGATGCCAATAGAGCCATGCAGTGTAAACAATATCAAAGGGTAAAACTAATTTTAATTAAATAAGTAATATTTTCTTCATTAGATATACAGCACAACACTACATAAATGCCAAAATATATGGAATAGGCAAAATAAGTCTCCTATTTCATCTGAGATTATTAAGGAATATATTGGTCGTTATTTTATATGTCCTAATATAACTAGATGGAACTCCACCTATAATGCCTTACAATTAATGTCAGAAATTATAAAAGCTAAATCTGACAAAGTGGACAAGATATGTGATGGAATAAAACTACCTAGGTTTTTACCTAATGAATGTGATTTTATTCATGAATATTGTTTAGTAAGTTATAAATAATATTTATATATATAGCATTATTTTAAATTAGCTAATGAAGCCAATAGCTAATTCCCTTGATATTTTGCAGGGAGATAAGTATATGTACACAGCTTATTATTGTGCAACTATTTCACAACTTATTATTGTGCAACTATTTCACAACTTATTATCAAATTAAAGAATTTTAAAGAAATGAACCTGAGATTCTGTTTACCACTCTTAGATGCCTTACTTAAAGGGATTGAGGATAGGTAAATTAATATAATAAATTAATAATATTTAATAATTCTAGGTTTATTGTGACCTTATTTGAAGATGATAATATTATAGCAACCATGCTCCACCCTTTTTTTAAACTTGATTGGACATGGTTGCAAATGGAAGAAAATCTTAATAAAAGAAAACAATTGATACAAAGATTAGCTGGTGAATTATCAAAGTCATCAACTGACTGCAAGCAAATAACCTGCCAAAAAAAACAAATAATTTAATTTCAGATTTTTTTCAATACCCTACAGCAGATATAATTTCTAATAATGATTTAAATTTTGATAATCAACAAATTTTAAATAATTTTTTCAAAAATGAATCTAGAGATTTTAGCATTTTTAAAGAATACCCTGATATAAAATTGTTATTTATTAAATATAACACTACAATTCCTTCAAGCGCCCCTGTGGAAAAACTATTTAGTGTTAATGTCTTTACAGATAAACGAGGATGCCTAAATGATCAAAATTTTGAAAATATTTTATTACTGAAATCTAATAATTATTTAATCATATATTTTCATATATTATATTAAAATCATTATTTTAGTTATATTCTGATAAATGTTATATCGCGTCAATAAATTTTTTAGCTCATTTCATGAATTTTCACAATATAATATTAATTTAGGTTTATGCAAACCTATAAGAGCATAATAAAAAATGTATCTGTATACAGATACATTTAAAAATTGTGTCTGTATCTTGATAACTTTTTAGACGCTGTATCTGTATCTAGATAACTTTTGAGACTATGTATCTGTATCTAGATCCATTTAAAAAGTATCTTTTAAACACTCTGATAAACACCATCCGGTATCACTTTGTTAGTTCTATTTTCTTTTTATGTTTAGGTGTTTTTTATCGCGAGACTTTATGCTAAATTTTGCTTAAACTTACAGAAAAATCAGTTATATTTTATTTATAAAGATCTTCAATCTTTAAATGCAACAGAAAGTGAAGGATTTTATAGCTAGGCCAAGAGATAAATGTTGGTGTTACATATGGATAACAAAATATAAAAGTTGTGAACCGGAAAACTCTCATGAATACTATAGATCCAAAAATATACTATAAAATAAAATTTAAGATTAAAAGCATGATCATTAATAATTACTTGTCCATAATCACTGATATTTGACGGATGACTATAAAAATCTAAGTTTTTTAACCATTACAGGACATATTATCATTAAGGATTTTAAATTAAAAACATTTGTTATGGCCACAAGGGCAATGGATGAAAAAAATGTCAAAATTAAAAGTGTAGTCAATTCAATTTTAGGAGAATATACAGAAGTAGAAAATTAAATAAATGTATAGTTGTGAGTGATAACGGAGCAAATTTTATAAGTGCATTCAAAGATGACGAAACGCTAGCATGTATATATACTAAATAATGTTATGCATTATATTTTTGACAATTGTTTATCTGAAATAGCCTTAAATATAAATGATGTAAAAAAATAGTACAATATTTCAAACAATTTACAGCTAATATGAAACTAAGCCACACCCTTAAACAAGACGTAATAGCAAGAATAACGAGATGGAACTCTGTATATATCATGATACAGAGTTTCTTAAAATCATATTCTGAAATACAGGTGTACTTGTTTAGCAGGCAAAAATAAATATATTAGCCACAATTGATATCAGTATCATACAAGAGTTAGATAAATTTTTATCAATATTTAAAGAATGCTCGGATAATCTGAGAGCAGATTCTCGTCCCACAATAAATAAAGTTTTTCTATGGAAACAAAAATTAATAAAATTTTGTTAACCTTCTGAGCGTGATACAATAATAATCAAAACCTTAAAATACAGAACAAGATTTCTTTTAAAATATTATTATGCAGCCATTACATTAGGTAGGCTTGATTCTAGATCCGAATTTCAAATGACTAAAGTTTTTAATAAAAGAAGAAAATGATATATATAAAACAATCATAAAAATGTTAAATGATATAAAATTAGATGATATGCATAAGTCGATGCCAACTATCATTTATAACTTTCCTAACTTATCCCAAACTCATAAAAAACCGTATATTCTAAATGGTCAATACCAACTATCACTTTCCTAATTCATACTACACTCATAAAAGACCGTATATTCTAAAAAAAAATTTAGAGAATTTATAGATGATTCTGATCAGAGTTGTTAAAAGATACCTTTTAAATGGATCTAGATACAGATACATAGTCTCAAAAGTTATCTAGATACAGATACATTTTTTATTATGCTCTTATAGGTTTGCATAAACCTAAATTAATATTATATTGTGAAAATTCATGAAATGAGCTAAAAAATTTATTGACGCGATATAACATTTATCAGAATATAACTAAAATAATGATTTTAATATAATATATGAAAATATATGATTAAATAATTATTAGATTTCAGTAATAAAATATTTTCAAAATTTTGATCATTTAGGCATCCTCGTTTATCTGTAAAGACATTAACACTAAATAGTTTTTCCACAGGGGCGCTTGAAGGAATTGTAGTGTTATATTTAATAAATAACAATTTTATATCAGGGTATTCTTTAAAAATGCTAAAATCTCTAGATTCATTTTTGAAAAAATTATTTAAAATTTGTTGATTATCAAAATTTAAATCATTATTAGAAATTATATCTGCTGTAGGGTATTGAAAAAAATCTGAAATTAAATTATTTGTTTTTTTTGGCAGGTTATTTGCTTGCAGTCAGTTGATGACTTTGATAATTCACCAGCTAATCTTTGTATCAATTGTTTTCTTTTATTAAGATTTTCTTCCATTTGCAACCATGTCCAATCAAGTTTAAAAAAAGGGTGGAGCATGGTTGCTATAATATTATCATCTTCAAATAAGGTCACAATAAACCTAGAATTATTAAATATTATTAATTTATTATATTAATTTACCTATCCTCAATCCCTTTAAGTAAGGCATCTAAGAGTGGTAAACAGAATCTCAGGTTCATTTCTTTAAAATTCTTTAATTTGATAATAAGTTGTGAAATAGTTGCACAATAATAAGTTGTGAAATAGTTGCACAATAATAAGCTGTGTACATATACTTATCTCCCTGCAAAATATCAAGGGAATTAGCTATTGGCTTCATTAGCTAATTTAAAATAATGCTATATATATAAATATTATTTATAACTTACTAAACAATATTCATGAATAAAATCACATTCATTAGGTAAAAACCTAGGTAGTTTTATTCCATCACATATCTTGTCCACTTTGTCAGATTTAGCTTTTATAATTTCTGACATTAATTGTAAGGCATTATAGGTGGAGTTCCATCTAGTTATATTAGGACATATAAAATAACGACCAATATATTCCTTAATAATCTCAGATGAAATAGGAGACTTATTTTGCCTATTCCATATATTTTGGCATTTATGTAGTGTTGTGCTGTATATCTAATGAAGAAAATATTACTTATTTAATTAAAATTAGTTTTACCCTTTGATATTGTTTACACTGCATGGCTCTATTGGCATCCACAGTGGCTATAAGATTCAATGTGTGACTGGCACAACATTGGTGATGAGGTAAACTAAATGATTCTGATAATTCAGAATCCTGTGCAGTATTACAAAGATTTGATATAGAAATTGGCACAACTGCTTCATCTTCCAGATCATCAATTGATTCACTTGTATTATTTTCAATTGGCTTGAAAACTCTTTAATAAATTAAGTAATCAATCATATATTATGTTTATATTTATTTATAATAAAATAAACCTAAAACATTTTATAAAATTTTTGGCATTATCTGTAATGGTCTTTGAAATTTTATTTTGAATGCAATAATCCTTAGCTATATCTTGTAAATTTTTTGCTATTTTATCATATGTATGACTACCAGTCATTCTTTTACAAGCCAACGCTATAATTTTTCTTTCCAAACTTATTGGATTTATATAGTGAGCGGTTACTCCTATGTATGAACTAAAAATTAAAATTTCTTAAAATTGCTGAAATAATTTATTCTTAATTAATTATTATACAAATTTAAATGTTAGCTATACCGGCGATAGGCACTCCAACAATCTGCTTTTGTGCATATTAATGATGGTTCTATAAGACTTTTAATTATTTCTTTCTTTTCATTTTCCCATCTTTGGGAAATTCTACCAACAACTGTCTGTCGGCAAATTATATTTTTGTGTGGAGCCAAAGTGTTGATCATTTTTTTAAAAGAAGGATTTTCAACAATTGAAAATGGCTGCATGCCATCTATAATAAAAGCAATAATTAAATTATCTAAAGTGCCTTGAGTTAAAGTCAAAGGTCTTTTAGCAAAAATATTATTGGAGGATGAGCCTTGTCCAATATTTTCTTTGGTAGTTTTATTTTACTTTTTGTTAACAAGGTTGGATGTTTTCTCTTAAAATTTAAATTAGAATTTTAAATATATAATATCTATACCCTTATGTGCTTCACGATATTGCACGTTGAAGTCATACTGACGGATATTTTTGTATTTTTAGGTAGACACGGCAAACATTTTACCATCAGAGAATTGTTTTCTTTGTTTTGAGATATTATTTTAAAATATGCTCTATAAATTGGCCATGGTAAAGCAATAGAACTTGTTATCGCTTCCTCTTCTTCATCGATATAGATCTAAATAAATATATAAACTTAAAAATTTAGTTATAAAATAAAATTTACCATTTCCATATTGTAATATTAAAATTTGTATGGTTTATTGATAAACTCGGACATAATATTTAAATTAATGAATATTTTTATATATTTTTTATATATAAGTTTTAATATTTTATGTATATACAATTCTTTATTATAGTATTAATAAATATAAATATATAATATATATATATTTATTTATTTATTTCATAAGCTCATATGAAATAAAATAAATTTTATAGTCAAATATTTTTAATTATAATAAAAAAAGGGGTATATAAAATGTATCTAAAAACAGATACCTCTAAAAAATATCTAGATACAGATACCTTTCTAAAAAATCTATCTAGATACAGATACTACATTTTTATATCTAGATACTCTCTGGTATTTATAAAATGCGAAAGATTTTTAGTTTACATTAGTTATTCTTTTTTAAAAAAGAAATAAATTAAATAAGAAAATATATAATATAATTAAAAAAATTTATAATTATAAAATTGCAAATTTATATTTATAAAAAAACAATTTTAAAAATTTAAATTTCCGTGATTCACGGGAAATTTAGTTCACGCCCGATCACGCCAGGGGAAATTTTGGGAAGGCCCGTCACGCCTTGGGATTTAAAATTTATTCACACTCACGCCGTGACCCACCGTGACACGATGGGTCACGCGTAATTTCACGGCCCGCGCCCACCTATCTATTACATAATATAATTATAGTTTTCCTGCCATGGAATAAATACGTAAAGGATTAAATACATTATTATAATATATGTTATATTTTTTATTAATTAAAATATCAGTTTTATTTTTTTTATAAATACAATTAATATAGATATTCTCAAAATATTATTTACACAAATTTTTTATAGTATTAATTGGTAATATCTAGTATACTAGATATCTGTTAAGAATATAAAAAAAGTATGTAGTAATGTTGTTAAACGGCTCGTTTAGCCGATTATTAAAAACGGCTAACTCAGTTTTTTATCCAGAAAAATATTTTGCAAGCCTGAAAATCTTGCTCATAGAAGGAGCAAAGGTCTAGACATAGTATCGAAATTTCGAGGCTTAGTCAATATTTTTCTGGCGAAAATATTGAGATAGCCGTTTTTAAAAATCGGCTCAGAACTAGCCGTTTAACAACATTAGCTAATATACTTGCTTATTAAATGATAATACTCGTCGAAAAATATGATAAAATACCAAATAGATGAATTTTTTGTATATACCAGGTCGAATATAATTTTAAAAAATTCCGAGCCGGGCCTAAAAATTGTTTTTTTAAATATCCGGGCCTAAAATTTTTAAACCCGGGCCGTAAAAAATTTTTGAAAAAAAATCCGGGTCGGACTGTGCAAATGGTACCTCTGCAGGTCTCTGAAAATTACCATAAATAATTTATATCTCTAAAATAGGTACAAATGTACTTAAATGAGCAAGCGAACATACTTATAGTGACAATTTGTCAGGCTCATTTTAGTGGCGATTTTAAAATTTCCGAAGGTGAAGATCCCTTTGTGGTGCTACGACTGTTACCTTTATCCAAGTTTTAACAAGAAATAATGAAATATATTTTATTATTGATAATTATAAACAACCAGATAGCTTTTATGGGTAGCAATCTAATAATTCCTTTCGCGTTTGAGCAGAACTCTAAAATAATTTTTGTCCTACTTATATCCGAGACATGCAGGCCCGACATACATGTGTCTAGTGTTAAATTAATTTTTGAAACGCGTGCTGACCAATAGATAAAAAAAAATCTGGTTGGACCATAATAAATTAATTATATCAATTAATCAGTGGGAAAATCACATGGCTATTAAATTCTTCATTCTTTCTAATATTTTTGAATTCCTTTATTTTGTTTTCCTAATACTCTTCTAAATATTCTTTTCAAGAAATAACACTAATTTTTTTTTATTTTCCTTATCCAATTAATTTGGCTAAATAAATTTTAATAACAAATTTTTTTCTAAGATTTTGTTTTTTCATTTAGATTTAATTGTTACTGAAATAACAAATATTTTTTTAAATTTGGGGCCATAAATTTTTGAGGGGGCCTGCCCCCTTCATGGCTATTGGCCCATACGAGATATAAATTCACACAAAATAAAATTAGTACAAAAAGATTTAACAGCCGGGGCGAACGAGGCTAAGTTAATTAATATCTCGGCTAATGGGATCGATTCCCTGCGAGACCCTTTTTCTGAAGCTATACAGAACAGTTTGGTGGTTTTATATGGCAGCTAGCCAGCACGGGGTAGGGTTGATATATATTTTATAAAAAAGGGGTTGATAAAATTTGATCGTTAAATTTGTAAAATTAACTTTTTATGAATATTTTAAAGCATCCTAGTAGTATAATGGGCAAAATGCTAGGTTAATGCATCTTTGTTATCCCGTGTTACGTTCAACCCGACCCGACACATTTTTTTAATTTTTCTGGAACAAGCCAATCCCAGCAGTTAGCTAAGGGTTAGAAAAATAGATGCCAGCACAAAAAGATAAGGTTAATATTATTTGAAAAAGAGTTTGATAAAATTTAGTCGTTACACTCAATTTTTTATGAGTATTTTAAAGCATCATAATAGTGTAATGAGTTGTAGAGCTAAGTTAATTTAGTAATTAGTAGATTATATTATGAACATAAAGAAAACTTGTACCAGATTATCATAAAATATTTGATTTTTTACCCTTTAGTAATTTTTTCTAAAAAAATTCCTTTTAAATCATTTCAAGAATTTATTAAATATACTTATACCCTTTTAATCCCTACCTTTATAAAATGATCCATTCCATAGCATTTTTTAATTTGAAATATATTTATAAATGAACATAGTGAATGATTAATTTCTTTGTGAAAAAAACATAGCAAAACGATATCTTAGCAAATCATTTAAATAATACCCTATTAAATTATCAAACGATTGGGAACTAATAATATTGATGCGACTAAGTGACTTAATTTATATTTATCTTTGAAAAAGAATACTCTAAATCATTTTGTTTCAGCCCATCTCATATAAAACAAACCGACTCATTACAACCTCAAAGAGAGCAACTATTTGATTGGTTTCAAACATTTATGTTTCCAGACGTCACACAGCAAACAATTAAGGACAAATTTTTGGACTGCTCACTTTGGTTAATGAAATACACGGAAGACGCAGCATCAATAAATAGAACTGACATTGACTTGATAGGAATGGTGAAGATATTTTTGAAGGGTAACTAAAAATTTCAATGAATTTTACTTCTTTTAATATGAGAAATTTCGAATTTATTGGTGAAGATATTTTTGAAAGGTAACTAAAAGTTTCAATAAATTTTACTTCTTTTAATATGAGAAATTTCGAATTTATTTTCCTAATCGTTTATAATAGAAACCTGCAGACATGGACCAAACCTGGGTGAGGGAGGCGTATCAAAAACCGGTCCGGGCCTAAAAATACAATAGCGAAAATATTAAAAGTAACAAAATTTTGAAAATTCAGGACCAGGTGGTAAAATGATAAAAAAAATAAAAATTTAAACCGGGAAATATTTAAAAAAAATACCGGCAGACCTAAAAATATTTTTTTAAATCCAAGTGGGTTGTGTAATATGAGGCATCTCTGCAGGTCTCTGAGTTATAGGTCTTAAAAATTACAATTAATATAAATCCAAATTATATCTAAATAACCATTAATGCATCAGGATTAGTTATAAAAATTGAAGAACAAATTATTACGCTTTGATATATCAAAAAATAAATTTCCCAGATCAAAATTATATGGACAACAGAAGACATTGGTTGAAATTAAAGCTCCCAAATTGTATATTTGATGACATTTATCCTGACACTAACTTCGATATAAAAATTATTAAGAGAGCCACTTTACCCCTAGACCTATCAGTCAATTATACACAAGTATTTAGTAATATATCTTTTTTTGACTAAAATTTAATTGCTAAAGAATAACCAAGCATGTGATTATTTTAAAAATAGCAATATCATAAATACATCAACCCAGCGACCCAACTATGTAAGCACTAAAATTTCTTTCTATATCTTTTATTTTCTTCCTACCTTTTTATCATTAAATTAATATTAGCTTAAATATATATTTCGAAGCAAGGATTTAATTTGATAAATGAAATTGGGATGATAGAAACATCGGCCGTGGTATGCCATATTGCAGCTTGTGCCATTCTATAGTGATGAAATGTATACATCAAAAAGCACAGATTAACCAAGATATATTGATTGACAAATTTTTAATATAATTCACTTTATTACAAATATATAAATATCAAAATTTAAAGCATACAATATATTTCTAATCACAGGTTTGTAAATGATTAATATATTATATATCATGGAGGTATGAATCTTTAAATTGTGATATTTGATGAATTTTTTCAATAAATCAGTTATAAAATACCCCCCAAAGATAATAGTTCATAAATATATATAATCACAAATATTAATATATTTCTAATCACAGGTGTATAAATGATTAATATATTATATATCATAAAGGCATGTCATTTTAAATTGTGATTTTTTCAATAAATCTTTTATAAGTCCCCCCCCCCCCCCTCTACACAAATAACAGTTCTTCAAAATAAATAATTTAGAAAAATATCAAAGTTCATTTCTGTAATAGGAAGAAGCACACCGGAAACCAAGGTTAGTAGCTGAGCTATCAGGTGTGTTTTGACTCCTGGCAGCGCATCTGTATCTGAAACAATAGCCCTTAATATAGTTAAAATACGAATTAAAATTATACCATTTAATGGAATATCGTAATCTAAGCTTCCAAATAATATTAGAGCTTATATTAAAATATTTATTTTTTTTTAGAAAAACTAAAGAGTTTATCTTAGAAAAAATTTAGATCATTAAAAATATAAAATGAAATTATTTGAAATATACCTTAAATAATTGCATCACAAATGGATCCAATTTTTTATTTACCTTATCGGGCCCAGTACTTAATATTAATTAAATCTCTTATAATAGAATGTAGATTTAATTCAATAAAAATATAATTAAAATCGTTAGTATAACTTCAAGAATAAATATAAATAATCGACAGAATCTTAAGATTTTTCCATCATAATAATTTATTTAAAAAAAAAATATGAATTGTACTAAAGTAAATATTTGCGAAAAAAATAACTTAACTAAGTTACTTTATAAATATTGTTAAATAAATTATCTCAATAAATTTATTTAAATAAAATTAATTTTTAAATAAATTCAATTATTTGCTTTTTAAAATTCTTCGTCTAAGATCAGAATTGAATAATTGAAACTCATTACAATATCTTTATTAGTGTTGTTAAAGTAACTAGTTACAATTGAAAAGATATAACAAATTATATTTTTGGAATGTAACTACAAAGTAATTTAATTTTTAAAATATGTTAAATAATATATATCTAGAATTATCTTCTTATGCTGATCCCCCAAATTCGAAAATTATGTTTTATTTTATTAAATATAAGTACATAGAGCGCTCCTTTAGAGCATTTGGTAGTCTATACATAGGCGCTGCCGAGGATCCCCCCTTTAGAAGTTTGCCTTTTCTTGTAAATATCATTTTAAGCTAATAAAAAATTCCTCCCCCCTCCCTATATAATATATCACCAAAAACAAGAATTTGAAAAAAATTTTAGTAAATAAAGACACTTAAAAAAGTTATAAAATGCCAAAATTATTTTTATAAAAATCTAACAGCAATACCTTTAATAAAATTTAGGGGGCTAACCCCCCCCCCCCCTATCAAAAATCTGGCTATGCCAATGAGTCTAGGGATGCTTATATTTTGAGAAGCGAATGGTAACGGATAGAAATAATAAATTATTCGTCTTGTTCAAATAAGAATAATTCAATTAGAATAAAAAATAACACGAATATTTAAATTCGACAAATCGAATGATTCGTTATATTTGAATCGAATAATTTGATTGAATATATAACCAATCAATCAGACAAAGTGATGTGATTAATAAGGTTATGCATCAACTGCCTGTGAAAAACTTTTCTTAGTTGGGACTAATTGCGGTCAAAAAATCGTATGTCTTAGAAAAAACGATAAAAATAAATTCTTTGCCTTAAAAATTGGTTTGGAATTATAAGTTTAATTAATGCATTTTAATTTCATTAATAACTTAATCGCATGTTCTTTATCATCAGATTATTATAATAATTTTTTTCTGTTTAAAATTTTAGGGCTTGACTAAAATCAATGCCCTCGGAAACTACGTGCTCCACGCGCCCCCTCTTAAAAAAAAACCTTAATTTATTATTAATATAGAATCTTTTAAAAAAAACTGGTATCATAATTAAATTTTTAGAAAATACTTTTTTTTACATGACTAAAATACGCGCTCTCGATAAATATGCGCTATTTTTAAAAAATGCAGAATCATTAGCTTATTAAATCAGAAAATGTTAATATTAAGTTTTAAATTTTTTTATAACTCAGTGGGCTATTAAAAAAACACTTTGTATCACTAAACTATTCGCTCTCATTAAATATAAGCTATTTTTAAAAAATGAACGCAGAGGCATATTTAACTCATTAAAAGGATTCATAAAAAGTTAATATTAAATTTTTGGTTCTGATTTCAAACTCTGATCGAGTAAAATGAATCACAACATTTAAAAAAAATTATATAATTATTTGCACTGTTAGAATCGGTTCCTATAAATTTAAAAATGGGTTCTGGTTGCAATAAATTTTAAAAGAAGGTTCCAGATTTCCGATTTCTAGATTTGATTCCGGTTCTGAAAGTCCCATGTTCCTGATATAAGCTAATTTTTTCCCCTCAATTATTTCTTTATTTAAATTGTATTTTCATTAAAATTATGCTAATTAAAAATTGTAAATCGAAATTGTTTTGAAAATGAAAAGTTACATAAATTATTTTTAAATTTCTATTTAAAATATAACTCTAACTAGTAATTACTTTTGAAAAATTGTAACTAGTAACGTTAGTTATTATTGAGGATGTAACTTGTAATTAGACTTTTCTTTTTATCAAGACTAGAAAAATCGTAATTACTTTCTCTTTTTGTCTATCGTGACTTGTAAGAATACATTATTTTAGAGCCCTACATGGACGCTCGACTAGACGGACTCATATATAATTTTAAAAAAATTATTCGGGCCAGACAGACTAGGACTTGGGTTTTTAAAAAATTGTTTAGTTTCTAAATGCGAAAAATAGGCTATGCCTTCATTGAAATATTCTACTAAATATATAATATCGATACATTAATATTTTAAACATCAAATTTTCTTTAAAAATTTAACAATCCCCATAGAAATTTCTTCTTAAATTATATTTTTATTTTAAGAATGTTTGATTAAAAAAATATATTTAAAATAACTTTAAGACAAATAATAAGACTCTTTTGAACTTATTTAGTTGCCCTCTACGCCAATTCTGTCCAATTGGTACATTCTTAGCTGCCATAGGAGGTTTGTAATATATTAAACTTCAAAAGTACTCCGTCTCTTGACAAACTTAACCATTCATTTAAAACATACAATATAAATTCTGGGTTGTGTCTAAAATCTCTATGTATAAACAAATTTGAAGCTTTGTTAAATGATTTTGAGATCATTGAAACGTAATGTCTTCAATTGAAAAGGTTGAATAATGAAAATCTAGCAATGATGAACATAGCAAACAGTTTAATAAACATAGCATTTATAACATACCAATTCAATTGAACCTAGATTTTTATTGTAAAAACAAAGCAATTCAATAAAAAACCTAGAATTTCATTGTAAAACAATATAGCATTTCAATTAAAAAAAATAGCACATGAATTAGTATAATATATATCAGAAACCTAAAGGGTATTTAATTTTTTTAAATATAACTCGGGTCAGGCTAGGCCTAAATATTTTTTTAAAACCCGAGCCGGACATTTTTTTAAAAATATACCCGGACCTGGTCAGGTCGTATAATTTAAAAGCATTCCCCATTTTGTTGCATTTTGATGAGCGGCAAGAGTGAAATAATTGAATGTCACTATATTTTAAATCGTTATTATTAGATATAAAAACTAAATAAATGTAATATATTTTAAAAAAATCCGGGCGGGAATCCGGATCAGGCTTTAAAATATATAACCCGGACAGGGTCGCCATAAGATCTCTACAGGTCTCTGATAAATATTATCATTTTTTAAAAAATTCAGCAAAATTTACTTTCTAACATTTATTTCGATAAGATTTACATTATTCTACAATTCCGTCATATTTTATTTAAAAAAAGTAAAATTTTGAAATTTATAAAACTAGATATAAAAGATGGGAAATATATTGGTAAAGGCATTAATATGCTAATTTATTACAAAATTTTGGACGGGGTCGAATATAATTGCTTTTTTAATTTTCTGCCTGGGTGGACTTGGAGAAATTTTATTAGATCTTTTTCCGGCAGAATCGCAAAGACAAATTTGATGTAGGGTTTTATTTTGTTTTATAAATTTTCATTTTTTCAAATAAATACTTTAATATGGTTAACGTTGCATATCCACAAGACCTTCTATAATATCATTTTATAGAAGTTGTTTTAAAAAATATTATAAAAACCAATTTAAGCATAATATGCAATTATTTCTATAGAAACTGGTATATATGCATTTTTTTATAGACATATTAAAATTTGTATAGGTGATGCTATAGCAGTAAATTTAACATTTTAATTCAAATTTATCAGCCATTATATGGATGGTGCTTAGAATACATGGCCTAAATGGGGGGGAGGGGTAAGCACCCCATCCCTTGCCCTCAAATTTCTTAATTATTTTCATCTTAATAAAATATAAATAGTGTCTTTTTTAAGATTTTTATATATTTATTGAAATAATTTTCGCAGATTATTTATTGATTTCCATTTTTATATAGATCAGCCCGACCCGGCCCAGCCCGTGAATAATTATTTTATCGGGTTTTTCATGGCCGGTAAAATATATTTTATACAAGTTGTCCGACACAGCCTGTCCTGTAATAATTCATTATGAAAGAAAAATACATAATCAAAAAAAATATATAAAATGAGAAATAAACAAAAAAAAATTAATAGTAATTAAAATGAAAAAAAAAGAAAAAAGAGTAGATAATTTAATAAAATATGATTATACAAACCTCAGTACACGCGAAAGATCCGCCTTTTTTAACCCTGTCAGTGCCAGAGTCAGGTCCCTTTGGGTTTTTTTGATAGGAGGAGTCGTGTTGCGTATGCCACCAGTCAGAAGTCCATTCCCAAACATTTCCGACTATGTTATAGATGCCATATGCATTGGGCGCGAATACGTTAACCTATTTAAAAAAATTTTATCAATTAAAATAAGTTGTAAAAATTTGACTCTCCGAATTTGGCATTTATATAATTGTATTTTTTTCCTGTTGGGTAGCTAACCGCGCCATTATAATTAAAATACTTTCAAAACTATTTTTCTTCTTTTGTTCGATCATAAATGGGACAAATTTTATTGAATCAATCTATTGGGAGAGGTGAGGGTTAGAGTTAAACGGAAAGGCGGCAGTATCAAGGTGCAAGATAGTGGGCTTGCACCATCCTGAAAAAATTACAAACATAGATTTTTTTATAATAAATTTGGAATTTTTATAAATTTATAAGCTGGTTAAGTAAGTAGATTATGGATACAAATTAATTTATACAGTTTTAGCTATCTCTGATATAGAAAATTTAGAACAAGATAACTAGCTAACTGGCCCACTTATACGTTAATGGGAAGAGCAAATTAAACGAATTTGTTTCCAGCTGAAGCTTGATTGGATCTTTCAATAAATGGGATTAGGGAATATATAGATGATAATGAAAGTAATAAATTCCTTCGTGATTTGAAATAGTTTCAAAATTTTATTAAAACAATTCTGTCTAGTACTGCTTGCTAAATGTGAGCATAACTTTCACCTTATGAATGCCATTATTACGGATTAGCTTGCAAGTCTTACCATAAAAATATTTCCAGTTTAATAATGATAAAAGTCAATGGGCCTCCTCTCAAAGTGGAATTCTTTATATATTAAAAGGTGGCCGACAATGCAAAGATAACCGATCAAGGAAGCGTGCAGTTATAATTATAAATTTGAAAAGATTCTACTTTTTTTTGAGTAATAGCAAGCCCCCACCACAAATTTTATGACAACAACACTGACAAAGATATGGTTAGTATCAAGACCAAATTTTGGGCTTCTTCCAAGCTTTTAGAAATCATTACCAAGTCGTCCGCATAACAAATCATCCTATTCTCCAAAAACCACGACTGGTTGGATCTAAATTCCAAAAGATTTGCAGCTCCAGCGATCGATAATTATTTTATTCATAACTATATTAAACAGCAGCGGGGAGGCGACACACCCTTGCTTTACTCCTTTTTATGTTCTAAAGGGAGGAGAAACTTTATTAATGATTTTAAACGAGGCAAAAAGATTACTATAGTGCGTCTTAAGAATCCTAATGATATTTACGTCTATGCCGCATCCCGCTAAGATTGCTCACAAAGTATCATGAATAACGTTGTCAAAAGCACGCTTGAAATCAATGAATATAAAGTAAAACGGTAATTTGTACTTCTCGCACTTCTGTATTATAATCTTCAACGCCAATATTGGTTCGTTGATATTCCTATTTGGGCGATAAGCGCAGATGTATTTAGATAGGAGATTTGGTGTGGAAGCGAGGATGCCGTTTTTTAGAAGGATAATAAATACATTATGGCTCTATAATCCTTAAATTTGGTAGGGTTTGGGATTTTTGGGAAGTTGTAAAAAATAGTCATATTCCAATCTGCTGGCATCCTCCCTGTGAGCCATATATTATTGAACAGCAAGAGCTGAGAGACCTCTGAGGGGGCTGCTTTCAGATGTTCCTCCAAGATATTATCAGGACCTGGAGATTTATTATTCCTAAGTTTATTTATGGCGTTAGCTATTTCAGCCAGATTGGCTTCCTAGAATCAAAGATGCCCATGTAATGATCTAACCACAAAGCCATCTGTTCATCAAAATTATTATTATCAAGTCTGATCGATGGGAGAGTTTTAAATACTCTAGCATTACAGAAATGTTTGAGCTTTTTGTAGGCATCGTGGCTTGATGTATCTAAATACCTGTTTCAAACGAACGATCCTAATAAATGTCTATGCCCCTCCTAAGAGAAGTAAGAGACTCTTCTTCTTAGACGACCTTGAAAACATCGTATGCTCTCTTCCTTGGAGCCGTAATTTGATAATTCTGGGGGACTTGAATATCAGGTGGGAAGGAGGAATCCTTTATAATAGATGGAGGGAATGCGGCCATTACACAACCAAACCGTGATGATAGTAGGAAGCTTTTGGAGTTGTGTAGGAGTTTAAACCTTAAAATCGAGAACACCTTCGTCTTTCACAGTGAAAGCAATACTCTTACTTATAATTCTCATATTGATTTCTTCATTTCCAACATTCATGGTTGGTTTACTGATGTGAAAGCTATGCGGAACATAAATATTTCCGATCATAAACTAATTAGAGCAAATATCCTCATAAGGAATTTATGGGACAACTCTCAACAGTTCCCCACTTCTAATCAGCCCAGATATCCTCCCTGGACAATAAATACAAAGTACCTACAACGACCAGAAGTAAAGCTGCTCATTGGTCAAAACTTAAGAGATAGGATGGCGTATACCAAGTTACATCGGAGTCTGATTCTACGGAGGCATGTTGGTAGTCCTTTAAGAGTATTTTATTTGTAGCCTGCAATGATCTCCCCAACATTAATATTTCTCCCCAGAGGCATGAATGGTTATCCGAAGACACTGTTCTTTTGATAGCGGAACTCAAGCCACATGAAAGACGTGATGGTGACCTCGGAACTACAATCCATAGACTCCTTAGGAGGGACAGAAGGATCTACATCACAAAAATAGCTTTCGAGATTGACAGAGATATGAGGGAAATCAGAACATTCGATGCCTACAAAAAGCTCAAACATTTCTGTAATGCTAGAGTATTTAAGACTCTCCCATCGATCAGACTTGATAATACTAATTTGATTACTGTCCCGGATGAACAGATGGCTTTGTGGTCAGACCAATACATGGGCATCTTTGATTCTAGGAAGCCAATTTTAATACCATCCTTTAGCCATAGCGTACCATCTGACGCTAATTTTTCCTTGGGGGAACATCTGAAAGCAGCTCCCTTCAATAAGATATGGCTCACAGGGAGGATGCCAGCAGATTGGAATATGACTATTTTTTACAACTTCCATAAAATCCCGAACCCTACCAAATTTAAGGATTATAGAGCCATTGCTCTTACATCTATTGTGATAAAATAACTTAGTAGATAAATGTGATACATAGATGTAATTAAATTTATATATGAGATAAATATTAATAAATATAAATTGATATAATATTTTGAAAAATATATCCGGCATCTGCATTTTTTGACTTTGGACAAGGGGGGGGGGGATTTGTTTCCTTGCCCTTCCCCCGCTGCGTAACGCGCCTGCTTACACTAAATATTTTGATCAAATTTAATATATAAAATCCTATTATTTGGACCTCAAGCTCTGGATTTTTCAAAAAAATAGGACAAAAGGTATATGTAATCAAAGGTGATTCAAAGAAGTGGTGTTATTTATGGCAAAAAATATTTATAATAATTTTCCAATCTAACTATATTTTTATACATGGATCATTAAATCATATTGACAACCTTGTTTTTTTTTTAAATATAATTTTTCTTAATAAATTTTTAGCAAAAATATTGAATTAATTATTATATAAATCAGAGACCTGCAGAAGTATTATTTACATAGCTCCAAAATTGTTTTGGCCCAGTTCAAGTTTTTTTTAAATGTATTATATTTATTATTAATTTTTATAGCATAATAGCAATTGATAACACTGCGTGACAAGAAAAGTGGGAGAAGAAAATAAAAACAAGTTTTGGTGCAGAATTTGACGCTGAGTTCGAATCCGTTTTTTAAATTTTCCCTACACGTCAAGTTTTAAAAATATTACAGTATAAAGACAACTTTTCGAAATCTCAAAAATGGTAAAATTTAGGTCTTTATACGGATATATTTTAAAAAGTATCGAATAAAATCCCTGAAAATTGGTGATAGTGTTAAACTTATATTTATTAATTTACTAATTTTTATAATTTTTTATCGATTGGTTTTTGAGAAAATGGTAAAGAATTTTATTTTGGGGGTCTTAAGTTTTCAATTTAAATTACTATCAAAATTATTAACTTTAGAAGATAAATTTTATATAATTTTGCTTCAAATATGCTCAAGATTATATATTAATTCTAATTATGTTTCAAAAGTACTCTATGCCATGAAAATTCAACCAAAATCTATTAATAAAAAAGTCGGTACAGATATTTTCGAACTTTTTAATTTGTACACTTTTATTGAATTTTCTCTGCATAAAGCATTTTTAAAGCAAAATTAAGGTAATATTTATCTTTTTTAGTTGTATTTAGTAATATTTTATGCATTTATGATCAATTTATACCAGAATCAGATATCTGTACCCACTTTTTTAATTTGTACTCTTTTTGAAGCAAAATTTATTTAAAATGCAATAATTGGTAATTTTTTCATTTTTTATTAATATTTATCTTTTTTAGATTATTAAGAATATTTGTTTTTTTAATCAATTTATATCAAAATATATGATTTTCCAATGGAGTACCTTGAACCCCTAGTATGGGCAATAAATAATAATGCCAAATAACGAGTAGGAAGAAAGGAGAAGAATTATTTTTTTATTCGCGCTTAATTTTTCATAAACCTTTAATTTCTTTCATTAATTTTTTTTTAAATTGGATTTTAAATATTATTCAAATTCCCTCCTTATATAATATTCTACAAAAAATTAATGCCGAGGTCCCCTTGTTTAAAGTGTGTCTCTAAATTTTGTTACATCTGTGCGGACTATATATTGCCCGCACAAAAATGTCCAATTTCTCCAATCATTCAAAGGATTTATGAAGTTTATTACAATATTCCACTCTGCGATTTGGATAAACCATTTGCCCCTAATTACATATGTAAAACATGTTATAATTCATTTAATTCATGGGTAAATAAAAAACGGTCATATTTTCCTTATTCGAAACCTGCATTTTGGCACGTAGCAAGAAATCATTCATGGGATTGTTATTTTTGCTCGATTAGTACATTTGGGTTTAACAAAAAAAAATAAGAAGAAAATTCATTATCCTGAAATTTGTAGGTTGTTTATCCAGTAAAATATAATAAATAAATATATTAAATGTAAGCTATATTAGAAAAGATTTTATAAATAAAGGTAAATTTAAAAAATATAGGTTGTTTAAAAATTGAGTAAGGATTTTATAAAAAACAATGTATAATAATAATAAGAAGGTTTGCTGCAAAAATTAAGATATTTTTTTAGTTGTAGGGATCATTAGAACAGAAGTTATAAACCTTCAAAAAGTTCTAAAAATGACCTTTTTGGCCACTTTAACCTAAAATAAATAAAAAACCTGACGTGCTAGAAAAAAAACTGACAGCAGATTAAGAATATGCATAAAAAACTGTCTTAAAAAATGTTTATTTTATTTTCTCCCAAAAAATCAAGTCAAAATTTGTCACAGTGTAATATATGGCCCAGCTTGGGTATTTTTTTAAAAAAAAATTTTCAGGCCCAGCTCAGGTATTTTAAAAAAATTCAGGCTGGGGTATATTTTAAAAAAAATTAAAATATGGCACAGCCTATGTACCTGACCTTATGGCCAGGCCTATAGGTCTCTGATATAAATAAAATTAATTTTTATTAACCAACACTAGTGCAAATAAATTAAATTTCGAGAAATGGCCAAATCTAATGATATCATTTACATAATTGTAAATTTATTATAACATTTACATTACTTTGCTAATAGTCTAAAATTTTGGTTAGATACACAAAATCATATTATTTAACAATCAGGGGGTTAAAAGATTATAATAAAATTTATTACTGGTGCTGTTGTAACATAGCCATCTTCTCCTGTGTTAATGTATGGAAATTCTCCTTGCCATATGTTAGCATGAAATATGTTATTTTGATTAAATTCATTCCCCCAGGGATAAAGCCTAAATTTATATATATGTAATTTTTATTTACTTTCTATCCATTCCACCTCTACATGCATATTCCCATTCAGCCTCTGTGGGTAACCTTTTACCAGCCCATTTACAAAATGAATTGGCATCATTCCAAGATATATGTATAACTGGATGATTTGATCTATAATTTGATCATAAATAAAATAGAGAATAGCTAAATTAACCTATTGTATATGTGTGATCCTAAACCTTCAGGTTGTCTCCATGTGGCATTTTCAACTGGCAACCACCATGTAGCATCAGCAACAGCTTTTTTAATATCTAATTTAATTTTTTCATCTAAATTATTTTCTAAAACAAATGAAACCCCAAATTTTTCAGCCTAAAACAAGTGTTTCATATATAATATGCAAGGTATAAACCTCTGTTATATATCCAGTAGCATTAATAAATATGGAAAAATCATAGTTGCTTACCTCATATTTATCTAAATAAAACTTTGATATAAATACTGTTCTTTCTGGGCCTTCACCATCAGCTATAAAATGTGGGGTATTTGTCCCCATAATAAATTCCCCTTCATTTATCAAAACCATGGTATTATATAAAAAATATGTATGGCTGTTGTCATAAAAATCGTAGAGATCATGTGTAGACTTAATATATAGATAATTTTAAGATTTTATTAAAATATTTACCTTAATTGTACTATTCTGATTTGCAATTTTAGAATAAGCACATTTATTACAACCCTTAGATCCTAATTCAAGATAATTTTAATTATAGTTATTTATTACCTTTGATAAAAAATAAATTAATAAGGTATATTATTAAAACTAAGCATTTCATTCATATATTTCCGGGTATTAATTTTTTAGAATTTTTAATTTAATATTAATATTTTTTGAAGTGTAGGATATTACTGGTTTTACTCAATGGCATAATACCTAAACTGACGATGCAATCGCGTCGTTGAATGCAAATCAGCTGGACCCGCCATTGGTAACCCATATAGTAATTATTCTCATGTTAAAAACTACTATTAAATTGATAACTTGCTTCCTTATTATCACTATGATCAAGCAATTTTTTAATAAAATTTGCATCAGACTTAGGAATAAATTGATCTCTCGGTTAAAATTGATATGGGTAACCAAAATAGCGTCCCCAGCTGTTTATATTGATGTACACTTTTTTTAAATGAATGCATCGTCAGTCTAGGTATTATTATATGTCATTGGTTTTACTATAATTAATGGCGATTGTTCAATCAATGCGTATGACATTCGAAGCGACAATTAATCAGATATGGCAATCATATTCCTAAATATATTAAATGTAAAAAATCACATAAATATAAAAATAGGCAGTTGGAGAATACCGTGAATACATGTTAAGATTCAAGATCATTTTGTGTTTGTATCTTTCTGATATATTATATAAGATAATATTTTCAAAAGAATCTTGTATCATTTGATTTCCCTTTTTTTTATTTATAACAATATTTTTTTCGTAGGTTCTTGCATTTTTTTCCTTGTTTTTCTTTCTTTTCCTATCTTATACGATTCATGCATTAACACATAATATTTTTAAAAATCTTTTAAGCCTTGATTGGGTTATAGCGATAGAAAATTTAATAGTTATTGAATCTTCAAGTACGGATTATAAGTTGTATTGGTATTTGTTAATATTATATGTAAATTAATTTTTCAAACTAATGTTTGTTATATTATTTATTATCATTATACTATACATAAATTTAAAAAAACTTTTACTTTTCTAATATAATGTTAACTGATTTTTTTAAATTATTTCTTTGACATATATATATATATCTATTAATTTAACATCTAACTTTCATTTTTATACGATTAAACATAACACCAGAAACTTTCTTTTATCGTCTATTGATTTATTATTCATTATTATGTAAATAGTTATTTATGGTATATATATAGAAAAGACATCCTGATTTATAGGGAATATGATTATTTTCATATTTTAATGTCTTATTTGGTTTAAATAATGGAAAATTAATATCTTTTAAAAGGAAAAAAACTGATAATGAAGATTTTTTTTATGAAATTTCTTCCACAGTCATTATAATCATTTAAAATATTTTTCCTAATCTAAAAGTGGGGGAAAATGTTTAAGTCGAACAAAAATTTATTTAATTTTCTTATTACTTGAAACCTCGATACTTCGAGTGGTGAATTTAAAAAAACAAATTACAGATTTAGATTTATTTAAGGCAGAGTGTCTTTCAGGGTCAAAAATGTTATGATTTAAAAAATGCGGACCGATCTTAAATATTAAAAGAAATGGAAAATCCGGGTAGGGTCATTACAATTAAATGTTAACTAATGATAATATTTTGCTTAATATCACATAAACTAGACATCATAGAAGGTAAATTAAGGTTAGTAGTATTAAGCATTAATTTATTTTATAATAATTTTTTGGCTTCTAAAATTGTTTCATTGATAAGACCATAACGTTACACATTATATCATTTAGGGTTAGTTTAACATTAACTATTATTTGTTGTTTATAATGTTGGTTAATATTATTTGGAAAATCTTTTTCAGGAATATAATTTCCAAGAATTTTTTTTATTTTTCTCAAAATTTTTAAATATTTTATTTGGGGAATTTTGTTGCGTGGATACATTTATATGGAGATAAAAAAAAATATTTTTAGGATTTATAAAAAGTGGGAACTTTTTCCAGGGAATTTTTCCGGGGAATTATTTTCCTTAGATTTTTTGTCCCGATGAATTATATTTCAACGAATTTCTTTCCGGAGAAAATTTTTCTTGATATTCTTTTTGGGAATAATTTTTTTTTTCTTAGGGTATTTTTTCCCGGGGAATTAATTTGTGAGAATTTTTTCCCGGGATTTTTTTGACGGGAAATTATTTTCCTAGATTCTTACTAATTTATCTAGTTCATACCTATTCGTCCTTTTCATCAAATCTACTCTCTTGATTTGGTACACATTGAACGAATTATGGAGATTGATAAGCGCATCACGGAGAAAATAGATTAACTCTGCGAAGGGTAATACCTTTGGCAAAGGCATGCCGTAAATGATTCGATCAAATTAGTTTACTTAAATTATATAAAACAATAAATTTTAAATGATATTAAATAAAATAAAATGAATATATTCAAGATCAAAAAAATTAATTTCGCATACTAGTGAACTGGTAAAATTGAAAATTTTACTGTAAGTTAATTTGCGCCATGTTAAATATAATTTTAATTTTCACCTTATTTTATTATCATAAAAAATACCCTTTTTTCTAAAATTTTTTGAAATATGGTCTAAAAAAATTATTAACTTTTAGATATTTTTCTCTCAAATTATTTTTTATAATTAATGATATATTGTATGAATATTTAAGGAGGATGGGGGTGAGAGTGTAAGGAGAAAATTATTATTAACGGTTAAATTGCGAAGTTTTGGATATCATTGCAATCTAAATAAAATAATTAATATGAAATTTAAAACAATAACATAATTTATGGTTTCCTTTATTCATAACTATTAATTATACAATAATAAATTATACAGTAAAAACAACATAAAATTAAAGTTAAAGATAAAAATTAAAAAACAACAACTAAAAATAAAGAAATATCCAAAAAAAGTAATAAAACTAAAAAGTGAAATTATATCCATAAAATCCCAAATATATATCTTTCCTTCATTTACATAGTCTATAATAATTTCGTAATAATTTTTCTATTTGCATAAGACATTTTTCGTTTATATCTAAATATTACAACAATTTGAATAAGACATTTTTCGTTTTCATCACAACATTAACCTAAAATGATATATAAGCGAACAGGCAAATAAAGGGAGGGCTCCCTTACATTCCCTTCGCTATGCCAATGGTCTGGTCTAGTCTCATAATTACAAATGTCGAAATGTGTCTAATTCTTATCTTCGGTTTCTATCATATCATTAATATGAATTTATTAGATTTAAAAATTTTATGCTTAACTATAGTTGCCCTCTATTATTCTCTATGTGGTTGGTACATCACGCTTCCTCCCAAAAACATTCTAGACTTTTGAAAAAACCTTCAACGATCTAAATTTTAATTCTATATGGAAAAGGTTTTCTTAGGTTGTTCAAAATTTATTTAAAATTTTATTATGTTATTTTTTGAAAATAATGGGAGGAGAGCCTTAAGGAGTTAAAAAGCTATTCGTGCCACCCCAATAAAAGTTTTATTATTCGAGTCTAGTTGAGGTATATTTTCACGATTTAATTATAAATGAGTCAGGTCTTTTGGCACGACTTGACTTTTTAAAAAAACTAATCTAAACTTTATTTAATGACCATAAAATAATTAAAATATTAGTATAAAACCAAAAACTTTTGGCAACCCGATGAAAAATTAATTTGACGGCTCTTCCTAACCCACTCTCTCGTTTGCATGGGCCTGAATGGTATATATATATTGTCAATTTTTTTTAAGTCGATGAATTGGCTTTGATGCTAATATAATTAAAAAATGAAATGAAATAAAAAGAAAAGAAAAGAAAAGTAACAAAAGCTTATTTATTTCAATTAACGAAATAATTTCCTGATTCAAATTTTAATTTTCATTTAAAATAATCATAATTCTAATTAAAATTTTCTATAGCATTTGAAATCAATCATTTAAATCTATTGTAGAATATAAAAATATTATAATGTATAACCAACCCAGATCTTTCGAATATGGTTTTTAATTTTTGGCAAGAATTTTTAAATCAATAAAAATGTTATCATTTTATATATTTTGATAAATGATTGATTTTGAAATGTCCTAAAATTTTGGTTGTATAATAATATAATAGTTCCACTATGATCTATTCTATTTTATTATTTATCTTATTTAATACATTATATTAAAACGTCTTGAATTCAATATGATAACATGTATCTGTATGAGAATATTCTTTTATTTGTAAGTTTATTTTAATTTTTATTAAAATACTGTGGTTGCTGAAACCGATATAATTATTTGTTATGTAATCATATGTGGTCACAGATTATTAAAAATGCTCATGTCCTAATCATTTACTAAATTGACCAAGTTGAGATTATAGTTATTTCAAAGATTTTAAGGCTAAACAGTTTAATTTATTTGATCTTAAATAAATCTTGACCACAATACCAAAATAGTTTAAATATTAACTAGGAATTGAACGTAATTTTAATAACGATTAGTTTAAAAAAAATATGACACTATAACTATATATATATAGTATAAAGACGTATATCGAGCATTACTCTCACATCCTTCGTAAAACTAAACTAATTTTAATAAAAAGTTTTAAGGTCTCTTTACTCTTGGGCATCTCATAAACTTGGGTATCCAGGGATAACTATGTGCTTACTATACATATTAATAAATTATAACTCTTACTAAATGTGGAAAAAACTTGTATTCATTTTATTTGTTTATGGATTTCAGTTTGTTTTATTAAATATTGTTTCTAAGATAAAAATCTTCGTGATTAATTATTTAAAACATACAGTAAGGAATACGAGAGTTAAAAATAAATTAATTTTTCATTTTGGTTTTTTATTTAGGGAAAATAAATAAAATGAGATTATATCTAGTATTCTATATAGAAATAGATTCGATTGTAATCATATTTATTATGATAATAAGATCATTAATTATCCACTTCTTTTCTATTATTAATGTAAAGAAAAATAATAAGGTATATTTCCTTAATTAAAATTTGGATATACGTTGTGTTCAAAATTAATGTCTAATTATAATTTTAATGAATTATCTCCTGTAAGACTTTACATTTCCCAATATAATATATAATTATTGTAAAAAAAAAATAAGATAATAAAATAGTAGAACATCATCATGAAGTATATAATCATAAAAGAATGGGGACTGGAACTATAATTAACATATAATTTCATGTTGTAATAAGAATATCTAATGTCCAAATTATGAGAATAATTGATATTTAAATTTTAACAGGGTTTAAGTAGAACATAGAAAGATGAGATAAACAAAATTGACATTAATACTACTCTACCTAAATAAAAAAA